TTCGTCGTATCGCAACATTCGGGTTGAGATAACCCAATTTATTGGGGTACTACCACAATTAATTGGAATTGTCCACACTTTCCAACAGTTGAGACTTGACTGCTATAGTGCACGCCGTTTCTGTGCACCCTGCATGCGGAAAAGAACGTCGTGTGTGGGACCCAAAGTTCAGGTCATATGGATACCTGAGCTTTATGGCTCGTGTATTCAAAAACTTGAGGTCCAGCTGCCGAAGTTCACCTGTCCACTTCAAATATTTGTGGGCTGATTATTGAAATTGATAGACAAAACAATAGGCAAAAGAGCCAAATGCAAAATTTGAGCCTTGTTTACAGATTAAAGGGGAAAACGATAGATTAACTATTTTGCATGCCTCTCGTGGGTTGTCATTAGTTAATCTCTTATACTTATCTGATTTGTTTAGTTCAGCCTCACGCTTCTACCAATAGAATCACTCCGTTTGCCTTCTTTGTCAATCGCTTTGTCTATCAATTTCAATAATCAGCCCGCTGAGGTACTACGGTACTCTGGTTGACCTCCCAAAAGTTCTAACCGAAGTACCGTAGTGCTGCAGATGTTTGACCCAAGCTACGGCAGGTGAACTTCCCTGATTCGCCCCAATCGGAATCCAGAATCTCTGGAGTTACCATTTCCTCCTATGGCATGGCGTGTTTCGCGATGGATCGATTGAAGTATCATTTAAACCTATGAAAAAATTATCGGAATGTTGGCAACGAATACGTATATAATCGATTCCTCACAACAGCTTCAAACTGAAGAGTATCGATACTCGATTATACGTACTCGCGACGTTCCCAACCTTTGCATCCTGAGTCGCAAAAACTTACGCGGACTGGATATCCGAGAGTATTTGGGTCGCAGTACCGAAAATTGCCGGGCAGCGGGGCCGACAATGAGGTTTGCTCTAATCCGGCCGGCAATCGCAACTCGTGAATCTTCGGTGGGCGTCTTTTTTGTACTTTTTCGATTCATCGCGCCAGACTGCGTCAATTTCGGGGGTCCGTCACGGACTGACGATTGCGTAACGGAAATGATTGATTTCAAATTGTTCGGACTCGCTTGACCAACGTCGCGTCGGGCCGGCGATTCGGACTAGATCACACTCTACGGCGCATCATACACCGAACTTTTGAAGCCCCACCCTCATTCGGTATCGCTTGTAGATACTGATAATCGATTGTCGATTTTCGATCTATCATTGCCTTTTCAGCAAGAGAGAGGAAATAAACTGACGTCCCAGGCTTCCGCGGTTTTCGGCCGTGATCGAAGTCTATCGATTTGCGTTGCACCTTTGGCTGTTATGTAAAGACGCCAGATTCGCGATTACATGTTTGGAGGGTTTAGATGGCGAGAAACAAGGAAGAGGAGGGAAGAGAGAGGGAAGAGTTAGGAGAGAAAGTGCAAACATTCGTAACTGATGATTAGTCAGAGCCATCACGTATAAATAATGATTAGGATCTAAATGTTTGATTGACACCTTCGTATGTATCTTTGAGTTTATTCGATTATTGGTCTCGGTCTATTATAGATGGCTGAATTTTGATTATCTTTAAATGAAGAGGATGAAGAGGACGCTACTTAGTGGGAACGGCAGAAAAATAAAGCAAGTGATTTATACAATTCTAACATGAATCGCGAATATTGTTTTTCAGTCCAACATAGGCGGACCCAGATTTTTCGAACGTGGTGGGGCGTAAGGGAGGTCCACCCCCTCCCCCCTCCCAGAAAATTTTCAAAATTTTAAAACATCTATTATGCGGTTTGAGTCATTTTCGTCATGAATGATTACCAAATGTAAGTGGCCTTCCCTCCTCTTTCCTCCGTTCCTTTTTCCTTTCTCTCTTTCTTCTTTTTTTCCCCACTTTTTTCAAGCAAACGGGAGGCATACGCTCCTGGATCTGCCTATGCGGTTTAGATAACCGAGGTTTCGGGTCATAGTTTTTGAGCTTTGGTTTAATTAACCAAAAGTCAGTTCCTATGAACGGGAACTGCGGTTACCTGGAAAAATTTTAGTGTTCAATAATAAGTCAAATTCAGTATTTGTAATCGAGCTTTCTTTCTCGGCGTACACTCAAAAATGCGGTATGACATACCTAGACATTAATGGGAGCTAAAAGAACATTAATGAACAAAGTCCATTGTCTGGAGATTCAATGAGAGAAAAAATCTCTAGAAACCGCATCCGTAGTTTTTGCGATCGAGCTTTTAAACCCAATCGAGTCATAGGAAAAGCTCAGTCGCATGAACCTAGGATGGAGTTCCTAAAACCGAGAGTGCGGTTACAAGAGCCGAATAGCACGAACAATATAAGAAACTGTTCTCAAGGCTCAAATTATGGTCGAACTTTTCCTCGCGCTCATCCAGTGGCGTGGCGTGAATTGCGATGTATCGATTCTTCTGCCATTTAAACCTATGGTAAATAATCGATTATTAAGGTGTTCGCTCTGTTCGCTGCAAACACCCTGTTTATCGATCCTTTCCCATCGGTTCAAATAGCATAACAATCGATATATCGCTAAGCACGCCACGCCACTGCGCCCATCTACTTGAAAAAAATTAAAGATTATAATTTTCATGTATTTAAAGTGTTTATGAAAAAAGGATTAACCGTAATTGCACTTGTAGCTTCTCCTACATGAAAAGGGACACAAGTTGCTTAAATAAGGCCACTTTAAGTAAAGAATAGACTTTATTGAATCGATTCAACGATTATATTAGATTTACATCCAGAGTAAATATTGCTAAAAATCGATAAGTGTTCAATTTATCAAAGTTTTAAAAAACAAAATAGAATCAAAACTGAACTATGAATAAGTGAGTCGACATTATTTCAAATTCTAAAATTGTGACTAACGTTATGGAGAAGGGGAGAAGGGGTTTAAAAATGTATGAAGAAAAGCAGAGTAAAAGAAGAAAAATAATACTTTATCATTTAAATACTTGTTTTTTTTCTATATTCCATTTAAGTAAAAACATCAACTGAAAATGAGCTCAACTATAGATCGTACGAAGTCAGTTTCAAATTCTATCGTTGTGTGATACCCATCTCATGCCATACTTCATCGTAACAAAGAATAAAATTAAACGAACAAACAAAACAAATCGAACAAAATAAAAATATGTAAGAAAAAAACATAAAATAATAAAACAGTGCCACGATTGGGTCGTCATTAAGGCAAAATTTGCGAAAGAAAGATGGAATCCATAGTATATGGAATTTTGTTGATGTAATACAAATTATAAAATGATTTCCATAAAGCTAAACGCATGCTTTTCCCTCCCTTCGTTAAAGTTGCTAAATATTTGCAATACTAGATTCCACTTTTTTCATGCAAACCTAAACAAAATTTATTAAATCGCACCCAGCAACTGTATAACACCGGGAGTTTGAGGCTAAAATTAACAGGAATATAACGCCTATATTTAATCTAGTCAACATAACACAACAACAATAAATCTTAGTTACTACACATTTCCATAGTATCAAGCATTCTATTTCATTTGTATCTAATCATTACATTGTTTTTTCATGATAAAACAAGAAATACAATTTCTGAAAATAATCACATCTAGGCTAAACATAAAATTTCTGATATGTATAAACATTGATATGTATGAATGATATGTTTGTTACATAAGACCCTTTGATAAAATAACTTCAGACATTTATCAAATAAAATTAATCAACTAAAATCAACAAAAAAACCGATCCAAATGAAACACAAAGCGTAACATTTTTAGACCTCTTGATCCTGGCTATCAAATTTACCCAAGTTTGAGTGAGAGGAGGTACTTCGGTCGAGTGAAGATCAAGGTGGCTACATTTGAACAAAATAAGTGTTTTCTTCTTATTCAAAGATAAAAATTACTTGTTCAGGAAGAACTAGAGAGTGATGGCCCGGGATTGATCAGGTACTCGTATTTAGAACGGCAAATCATGAATAAGTATAAAATACAATCCAGTTTCACCCACCTCCTCTCATTTACGTTGGACCTATTCAGTAAGTATGAATGGTGGTGATTATTCGAAAGTTTGCGGCTCTGAGAATTTCAGCTGTATTCATACACACGTTTTGTTTAACACGTTGCCCGATGAACAATTGAAGGCGTTTCTATGCAAGGAACCGGGGGAAGGTTTGATGAAGCTTTGTTTTCACGGAATGGGCCTGTTGCATGCAAGAGATACAGCCGCGCGAATAGACTTTTCAGAGGTTAAATGACACGAAAATTACGATGGTCACATTAAAAAAGTCTGAAATACACTCTTTACTGCGCAATTTGTGTTGTTAGGAACGCGCTTTTTCAAATTTCCCGCGACTGAGGGCAGTTTTCTAATCACCGGAAACGAGCAAACGGCGGGCTCGGTGATTTCCGGAAGATGCCGAGTCGTTGTTGTTGTTGTTATTTATTCCTCCAGTTTGTTTACAAACCCAACGTGATCTCCTACAGTGGTCCATATACGCTTTATGCGGTAACCAAATCGATCAACTTTTAAATATCCAACGCAATCCTTCTACATTTCATTTCACGATGTCACGAGCTCCGATTTTTAGGTTATGTTGTCGGTTTTAGTTGACCGGAAATAGCCACGAGTTGCCGTTAATTGTTTCCGTTAGAAAACTGCCCCCAGACGCGGGAAATTTGAAAAAGCGCGTTCCTAACAACACAAATTGCGCAATAAGGAGTGCATTTCAGACTTTTTTAATGTGACCATCGTAATTTTCGTGTCATTTAACCTCTAAAAAGTCTATTCGCACGGCTGTATCTCTTGCATGCAACAGGCCCATTAAGTGAAAATACGAATGCCAAATGCAATTTTAACAAGTAGTTCCCCATTCATATAGATTGTGGAGCACGCATTATGTACGGATAAAAATTACAAGAATCGCGACTAAGTAGAAGATGAGCAGCTTCTTGGTGCGTTACGAAGTAGAGTTGATTTAACTTGTTATGAATGAAGATCAACCTTGGATTAGTTATTTTGGATATATTTGTATTGTTTTTTATATTAGAGTCCCGAATGTCATGGTGAAGATTAAATAACGCAATACACCCTATTTTTATTAAAATCAACACTGCCTCTTTTCATTCCATTGTAATTACTTTTCCCATTCATTCTTTACTTTTTAATTATTCTCCGATTTCTCATGAAATAGGTAAATTATGATATTTGTAAATGCTAACATTCTTGGAACAGAAAACTACCTTTTTATCCTCTCTCTCTGAGATTTTACGACGCTCTATTCAATACTTAGGTAAATATGATATTAAAATATTGTACTTCATGGCTTCCATGATACATACGATAAAATGTACACTTTTATACAGTTAAAAGGTAGGTTATCTAGTTTACACGAATTTCATGATGTACAGCTTCTTACACTGACTTCCTTTTATTTATTCGTTTGTTTTAAACTTTACATTCATAATTGACAAATCGAGTCAAAAACGCACCGCATTTAAGATGGTGGCATTCAAAAACTGGAACAAAAAAAGGAAACGAAAGAAAAAATTACAATACATAATAAACACTATCTAGAAAGAGCGGAAATCTGTAAATGTTCCGAACCTAAGAAATTTACAAGAGCCATAACAATGAATCAATAAACATTTATCAGTTATAACGAAGATACATTTCGATTACGATAAAATTAAATTCTATTTATTCTATATCACACCATTTACTGCATGTGTATTTCTGTCGAAAGCGAACATCTGGAACAGTCTTTCAAAGAAATACACTGCTCATTCGATAGAAAATTTTCTCTTCCATTCGCCTTCAAATCAGTTGCGAATGAAGGCTATCATTCTTTTCAGTCTCTGAATAGCTCAGATCGTAAAAAAGCGAGTGGAGGACTTTTAGCTCTTGCAAATCCTTCTTGCGATTCAAGATTCATTTAAACGCACATTTCTGAAGGAGGAAATGAGAGGATGAGGTTGAACTCAGCTAAATAAAAAATAACATTATAAGGATTTTCCATGTGGGTTTTTATCCTCTCATGAACTAAAAAATATAATTAAATGATAAAAAATTAAGGAATATGTTCTTAAATCACAAATGCATGACCCCATGTGGTCTGTGATTTATTTAATTTTGCTACTTGCATTTCATGCATTGACTGGTAAGGATATTAGAAACCCCATGAAAGGCTGTAGGCATTTTGCTTTTATTTAACCCTATTAATGCGCGTTCTTTTGATTCTTTGCATTGATTATTTTAAAATAAGCGATCTATTTATTTGTTCCTCTATGCAATTTAATGTATTACACTCAGTTTTTCATTACTTACACTGCAAAGAGTCACAACTACTGATATCAAGTCTACGACATGTAAGTTACTCAAAATAATCAACAATGTAATTACTTGAAAATCTGTTTTAAAAAATTGGTGGATTTGTATCCTTGTATCTGTGCCAATATCTGTGACGACTGAGTAAAATGTCCTCCGACTTCAACATTTGGTTTACAATACATTTTAGAGTGTACGTTACTTTAGGAAAAGGCCGATGGATACTGAAGGTTAAAAGTCCTTACGCACGCTTTCAATCATTAATAACCAAGATGATTTGTTACGATCACACATACAAAACAAAATCAACAAACTCCAGAATACGGATCATTATGTACAACTTTGCTGGATCTGCTCTGAAAACCTCCGGGAAAAAACAACATGAATATAGATGCTGAAAGCAGAATCTAAACGATTCAAAGGTTAAGGCTGAGAGAGGGGGCAGTTGGCAGTATGTTTTGAGTTCACCTCCCATGGACCATGTTGTTCCGAATTACCATCCTTGTCCGCAATATCATTTTACCAGCACTTTGGCTGGATTGAGATTGATGCATCTTCAATGTACGTGTTTTGTTTCCTCTAACTTTGAACCTCTTTACTACAGGGCAATTAGGGGAGCTATAAAATCGGATTGCTTTTTATTAGAGGCAAATCTGACCTCTTCAAGCCGCAAGCTACTTCAGGTCAATGGTGACTAGAAGCTTACATCGGAGCAAAATTGTCAAATAATTCAGGAATATATTTTTTAAATCCTTTTTTAATCTTTTTTTTACAAGATTTCAATTATAATTTTTTAACTGTTCAGAAACGTCAAACGATACAAAAGTTTCCTATCTGCAGCGATACTGCACCGAAAAAGGAGAGCGCTAAAACGTTTAATTGAATAAGGAAAACATATTTCATTTTACACTATGTTTTCACAAATTTGCGATAGAAATTAGACAGTTGCTCTTTAAGTATAGCACCAAAAAATACTTAAATGTGTTATCACAGATTTTATGATATGTATTCGATCCATGAAAATGCAAATGTACACAAAAGTGCAACAACACCGTTTGATATGTAGTCATATTGATTTAAATAGTATAATAAGAATATTCTCCAGAAATTACGAATCAACTAGAGCAACAAATGTAGACTTAACAAAAACAGACTCAATAAAAGACAAACATCTGCAAATTCCTCAAAAGTGAGAACAATCGGGCCTAATGATCTCAATTCAAAAGCACTCAAGAGCTTTTATATCCATACATCGAAGATTATAACAGTTACAAATATTTTACTCTTTATATTTTAAATGAGAAATTTACGCACTATATTTAGTTGTTACCTTTCATCTCATCTTAATCACTGCTTTGATTACTCCACGTACGTTGACCACAAATAGACAATAGTAAAATTCAATCTAATTCGATCAAATCTCTAGCTCTTTAAAACAGTAGGTAATATTATGAACTGCGCACTAATAATAAAAAAAGAAAATCCCGCGCAGTTAAAATTGAGGAAAGAATCCTGGAGGAGAATTGGAACCAGAAGAGACGGAGTGATATGGAAAAATCATCTAATAGGAGGAATACTTAATGTACAATTGTGCCATTACACTCTAAAAACAAAATTATTGAAGATGAAAAACGCAGAGGAATCACTACCGATTTTATAAATACAATTGAAACAATATAATGATCTTACTATTTGTCTATTATTTTATTATGTAGGTAATTTAGGAGTGAAAGCTTCATTACTATTTAGCCCTATTTTGAACCGTTCATCTTCTTTTGTTCACAAACGAATAAATGCCTTAGAAAGCGACACAATTTTTTCAAGATTAAGTAACACTACCCTATCAGAAGTGCCTCTCTTGGATACACGCTCAATGGATATCATCTTCATTAGATACGATCTTTAATTTTAATTTGCATTGAAATGAAAATTCGAGTCTTTTCTGAAGAAAACTATACTCATCGTGTGCCATTTTTTCTTTCTCTCACTCTCTATCTTCTCTATAAAATTGTATTCAGCTCAATTAATTAAGAAGCAATTCGTTTTGATGCCATTCGTTGATCCTTTTCTCAGAACATCTGAATGGTTGATTTTCGCCAAGGATTTAGTTTTAAAGTATTGGTTTGTACTTTCTTGTGACAAGACATCTAAAAAAAAACTTGCGCGTCTTGAAAAATAGTTTGATGACATCTAAGTATCATTTAGAGCGATGCTGTGTTTGAAAAGAAGATAACACTTTGGGACTGTTGAGGAAAGACTACTTAAAAGAAGAAGTTACGATTGGCTTAAAATCATGTAATGACGGATACGAAACACATCTTCCCATGATGCCTGTTGCACTTACAAACAATGCCGGGTTTACGCACGAGTCATTTGGACAGATATGGATGGTGCGTTTGCCCTTTGTGCGTTAAAATCAATTATGAGAACTCATTTAAGCATAGAAGCAATCGGTTTCACACTAAATTTCACGGACTCTGCAAACATACTATTTCTCCACCTCAATCTCTCGTATGACCCTCTTGAGTGCTCAAATGTTTGCACAGAGCTGCCTCAAATCATCTTGCAGAAATGCATGTTTACCACTTCAGGGGAAAAGATTGATAATAAAGTGAGAGCGATTGTGAAAATACGTTGTGTCGTATGCAACCCGTAAAGATATTGTGCGCTTTTTTGGCAAACCCTTGCGATCGAATGTCGCACACTTTTTTTTGATGAGTTTCGGCCAGAACCACCATTGCAAACAAAACGACTGAAAGGAGTAGAATACAAGTATCTGTAGTTTGCTGCGTTTTACTCGATGATTGCAAAAATTCAGTTTTGAATTCACCTCGAGAGGTCAATTCGAAAATCGGGAATATGATACTTACTTCTGGCAAAGAGATAAATCAAAGCTTCCTACGGAGTGATAATTTTGTAATGGTTTACACTGCTTGTTATTACAAATCTTTTTGGGACGATATACATTAGAGACCCTGCACTGCTATCTTACCTGTTGTGTAAAAGTTACTTTTTCGGAATTTCATGCAATGTCGTAAAATTTCAAGCTATTCTTCAAGAAATGTAAAAACAATTGAAATTTCATTGAAATTTGGGTGAAATTTCATTGAAATTTTCGGTAAAATTTCATTGAAATTTCGGATGAAATACCTTTGAAATTTAGGATGAAATTTCATCAGCTTTCCATGATATTGCATGAAATTGTGTCTAAAATTACGGGTAATTTTTCAGTAAATTTCAAAGCAAAATTGAAATTTCATCGAAATTCCGGATGAAAAACTTGAAAGTTCAAGGGCAATCCGAGCCTACCTTCATTTACCTTGCCCCCAGGTATTCTTGCCTTCCCAAAAGAAATTATAACGTCACATCGAGAGGATGAATAAGATCAGCAATTATGACGGTCACTGCTGAGCCTGCGTCTAAAGAGCGGTTGAGCCCTGGGTCTTGATGCCGGGCTGGCGAATGACACCTCCAGAGCCACCTCCAGGGGCGGCTCCTGCGCCGCCGCCTCCGCCTCCTCCGACGACATCGGCGACCTTCCCGCTGCCGCCGGTCGCGAGGGAGGCGAGCCGCTTCCGGGTGAGCTTCTCCATCTCCGTGGCTTCGGCGTCGTCGTCGTCCGTCTCCAGCGCCGGGTTCACGCGTCCGTTCATCTCGTCCTTCCCGACGAGGCCCGCCGCGGAGGTCCCGTAGAGGCGGCCCATCGCCCCCGAGTTGAGGACGGACATCTGCTCGCCACCCTCCGACGGCGTCCCCACCCGCTGGATGTCCTCCGGGATGTTCACCACGCAGTTGAAGTAGTCGTACTCCGGCGAGAGACGACCCGTGTTGAACAGCCACCTGCAATCAAAGCACCCAGGGTCTGAGTTCGTATTTTTCATGAAAAATAAAATTTTGAAATTTCAGCTGAAATTTCAGTTGAAATTTCATGAAATTTCAAGCTTTTTTTGAAAAATTGATTTTTGATACTATAATCGGTAAACCTGTACCCTTTCACTAGTGAAAAGTGCTTCCTAGGCAAATTAATCACAGAACCATACTAATAAATACTTATAAGTTTCATCTAAATGCGAAAAAACGAAGAAACAACTAAGAATAAAGGAGAGGGTGAACTCCCAGACTTGCCAGACTCGAGACTGAAGCATAGAATGAAGAGACTATTTAATCTATGAGTGAGGAATCCATGAATGAATGACTACTGTGTTCCATTGTGACACCTATCTCTTTTCTCTAGAGAAACAAATAGTTGATTAAGGAAAGCTTACTCGTCCTATTCTATTCTATCAAAGCAAAGCACCTGATTGGCTCATTTAAATTTTGCCGCTCTCAAGAAGAATTAGAATTTGAATGAGTCGATCAGGGTTTGATTTGCTTTATTTAAGTAAGTGTAAAAACTTAGACTGAACTGAGAGATTTTATTCACATTTTAATGAATGAGAAAGGTGAGAGGACTTTTTCAAAAATTGAAAATAAATTATTACAAATGAAACTGTTTTTTTGCTGCAATATTCAAGTCAGATTTATTTTTTTCATCAAATGCCATGTCGACGGTGAAACTACCAAACCACGTATCTCGTTTGCGGTGTTTAAAAATCTACGCTCACATTTTATTTTTTTGAAGTAGACCACATTAATATCATTCCTTGAAATTTTCACGGAATTTTCTCCGCACAAAGAGGAAAAATCACAGAAATTTTCAAGACTGGATGTTAAGTAGTTTTTCATTTAAAAAATAAAGTATGACAGGAAGTCTGCGACGTCGCAAACCGAGATACGTGGTTTGGTAGTTTCACCGTCGATGTGCTTCCCGATTTTTGGCTGAGTTTTTTTGTCGTAAATCAAAAATGCTACTCTGCATTTTTATCCGTGTCTGTGATTGCAAATGTTTTTCATTAATGTTTTGTGAATAGGTATATTTTTCATCTTAGGTAACATACGGAAGTTCTTTAGGCTGTTCTGAATTCTTTGTATTTTATCTTTGTATTTTCCCATGAAGGAAACAATACAATAACACAATTAAATTATGAAAAAATATCACAGTATTCACAGATCACAGCACAGCTACAAAACAAACAGCACGGTTTTGTTAATTTTTGAGGTTATGTTTGGAACCGGTAGTGCATGGTGAGGTGAGGGGAGCGGAAGTGGCGCAAGGATTATGGCGGAGCAACCTAACTAACACCAAAATACACTTCACACGACTTAATATTCATCCAAATTTCCCCACAGAGGTTCAACTTACACTAATTCATGTGCTAAGTCTTATTTGTGTATTTTTGGTATCAAATATTCAATTTTTCAAAAAAATTGAAAAATAAAAGGCCTTTTGAAATTTCAGTGAAATTTCACGTGAAATTTCAGTGAAAAATACGCTTGAAATTTCAAGGGCGAACTCAGCCCAGGGTTAGAGCTCGGAAGTATGGTCGTTCTGTAACCGTGGTCTAATAGACTCAGATTGTTGGGGGGGGGGGGGGTAGGACTCCTAGTCACATCAGATGAGGACGCATTAGAAATTGGGAGGAGAGGAAGAAAAGAAAAAGGAAGGAGGAAAGGAGTAGAAGGAGGGAGGAAAAAAATGGAAGGAAGAAGAGTGGGAAAAAAGGAACGAGAGAGAAAAGATGAAAAAGAAGGATAGGTAAATCAGAGAAAAAGAGCAAGACGATAAAGAAGAGGAAAGAAGCACAGGGAAATTAAGGAGCACAAATGATGAAAAGGGAAAGGGGAAGAAAAAAGAGAGGTAAAAGAGGAAGAAAAATGGAGGTATTAATGCCAAGAGGAACTGTACTGCTCGTGAGCCCAAGGCACATAGAATCCTTTTGGCGTAAATAAGTCAAAATAAGGAAAAGAGGAGGAAGACAAAACGAGAGAAGAAGGAGAGGAAGGGAAAAAAAGGAAATAAAGAAAAGAAAAAAGAAGAGCCAGAACAAAAGGGAAAAGGAGAATGAGGAAGGAAGAGAGGAGTGAGAGGACGAACGATGAGGAGCAGGGGGAGATAACGAAGAGGAAGAAGGTCAACATGAAAATGTAATTTGTGGGAAATATTAACCCGGCATTTTGGCATGTTTCAAAATGTTCAGCATAGGCAAGAAACATCGTATCGTAAGGGACGTAAATTGTACAAAATAAAGCTCTATTAGCATCCGCAACAAGACGTATATGAGCTGAAAAATTATAAACATGTGTTAGAAATGCATTGCTGGAAGCGTTGAAGTATTATTCGGACTTCATATTACTCTGGAGATAAAATGACTCCCCCAAACTATGATTTATATGAATAAGGAGTAAAATCTGCACCTCAGAAACGGATCAAAAATAGGAATGATTCCTCTGTCCCTCTCCTCTTGTAAGAACGCAACTCACTCCCACAAAAAACTAGATTTCGTTTTTTATGGGATCGATTTCGCCACAGTCGGGTTGCGTGGGAGGTATATAGACCACGGAGTGAAATGCATCTCGTATTTTTCTCCAATACTTTACACGGTGGATATAAGTTCTTAACTGGAGAATCAAAGTCCTCCTGGCAGAACGCCCACCCTCGCGAAGAGAGGTCCCGAAGTGTCTCTGATATACCCGCGGGTGCATATAAAGTCGTCCAACCTCAGCTGGAAGCGAGGATTTAATTTATTCGAAAACTGATAAAAATGCAGATGGAATTTGATCGGGGCGAGTGACGTCGGCGTGGGAGGGAAGGGATTTCCAGCGAACGTGCGCGAGTCCCTGACTCGGCGGGAAATTAGGTTATCACGACGCTGATACACGATGAATTTTAATCAACGGCATCTTTATCATCCGTCAAACACAATAGCTTTACGAGCGGGTCTTAAGTCGGAGTCACGCGCGTGTGAACGCGACGAGTAAAATATTGGCGAGTAAACGCGGGTGCTACGGGAGCTTCGGCGTCGTCGGGGGCGTCGCGACGTCGACGTCGATCCCGGCGGAACCTTGCGCGGGCCAGGGAATTCGAGACTTTAAAACAGGTGCTTGGATCGGGGCGAACCGATAACCTTCTGATCGATGAGGATAGAGGGACCCTAGGTTTCGCAAACACCGGGAAAAAGTCTCCTGGATCCGGAGTCCAAGCTCGTAAAAAAACCTTTCGATTCAATCGGATTTTTGCCTGCATCTGAAGGAAATCCTCTTAAATGAAAAGGCTTGGCTCTCGATTCGAGCAAAAATCCGATTAAATCAAGAGGATTGTCAAGAGTCTGAACTCTGGATCCAAGAGAAATTTATTTTCAGTGAATGAAGGGAACTTGGAGGAAAATAGTTCAATAAACACGACAGAATGAAAATTAAAAACATGGGTTAAAGAAGGTTGAAATATTACAAATACTAAAAAAGGTAAAATATGGGCGAAACTAAGCATGAGCCTAAAGAATCATTCTAATCCTAAAAATCGGACAAATTCAGAGAAATGAAAGCAGAATGGTGTTTGGAAAAAACCTCGCATTTGATACAGAAATCGATGACTGAATCGAATGCGAGGTTTTTTTCCAAACACTATTCTGCTTTCATTTCTCTGAATTTTGCCGATTTTTGGGATTAGAATGATTCTTTAGACTCATGCGCAGGGGCTATTGCTAAAAATTTAAAATCTACCGAGATTTTTGGCCTAATCGATGCGATATATCGCATTCTACTTCGACCTTAAGCTTGACGAATCACCTTAATCCATCCAGTTACTTGAAGAAAAAAAGAAGCACTAACTTTGAAAGCCAAGATACACCAGCCAGAGTGCCGAGAGATAGGATCATGGCCAAGGTCCTGAACGGGAATATCTGCTTCTCTCCGTTCCAGCCGGGGAAGTGGATCAAAGGCTCCAGTCCGAGCATGGGTTCGCCCCCGCTGAGTCGGACAACGAGGGCTATGATGTAGGCCGCTAAAGATCCGTAAGTGTTGCAGTGGTGCTTGAAATGAACCACCATCAAAAGCTGCGGGAACAGGATGCAGTAAACCAAGTCGGAGCACATGGACCTAAACACAAGCATAAACATTGAGTTAGAAAGATGGGCACATGGAGCTGGATGTTGTGTGACACATTGGTGCAGAATGACATTCCACTCCACACGGAAGCAACGACCCTAGGATTAGGTCTCAGAATGACATGATTTAGATTTTGAGTAAGTACAAGCTCTACTCTCGCAGGTCTGAGCACTATCGTGGGAATGCTGGTATCAACCTGAGATGCCCCTCGAACTTTCAAGTAATTTTTCACATGTTTCGTAAGTTTTCGGAAAGTTCGTGAAAAATAGCCTGAAATTTAAAATTATTGAAATTTCACAGGAGAAGCTCATAAAATTTCAAAGTCTTATTTTTCATGAAATTTACCATCTCAGGTACCAATCAAAAAACTAGACGATGCCTTTTGACCAACCTACCTGGGAATGAGCATTGAACCTTTTTTCCGGCCGTAATTTTCTATTGATAGGTATTATAAATAATTGATACTTGACTAAATAAAATAAGAAATGCCGAAATTTTTTTCTTTTCATATCTTATACTATATAGTGAAAAATCGTAAGAGTAACCCATGACGTATAAGGCCTGAGGCGCGAAACGCTCCGGAGGTTCAGCCGCGAAGCGGTCAGGGGGTATATACCCCCTGTTTTCCTAATCGAAAAAACTAATTAACGTTATTATTTTATGAAATCCCGTCATTTTGTGAAAAACACACCTATGACTTTAATTGGTGACTTGGGAGATCCTTCTTTAACCACATAAACAAAAGCAACCATTTTGAGACGTTGAGCGGCCTATTTGCAAAAATCCTAACGAAAATAATACGTAGGTTTAAAAATAAGGGCTATGGAATATTTATGTATATTAGATATCAATTAGATTAGGTCAAGTGAAGCATAAATGATTGATATAAAAATCATAAACATCATCACTTTGAGGCCAAGAAGTTCATGCTTATAAATATGCATGCGTATAAAAAGTAAAATCGTATTTTCTTAAATAGTTACAATTCCGTTTTTCCTCAATAAGCGCACCTCTGACGCAGATGGCGTTACCTATACAAAAGAAACACAAGCCTTAATGATTCTTCCCCTTTTTAGATTACATCAACTACTTGAAGCCGCTGATTCGATAAAATCTGAGTGTTTTTCGGGTTATTTCATCTGTACAAGGTCTTAGTTACGCAGAATCAAAAATATTGAAAAATTGAAGGTCTGTATTAATTACACCGAAAATTTTGGGAATGATACCGGGTCAATATACGCACACACCAGTTAGACCCAGCGTTGCTTGAACACGGGATGAAACCATCCGGAACCAATCGTATCATTGCGAGGGTTCCGCTCCGAGTTCGAAAAAAGTTGTGGGAAACAATCCTAGAACAATAAGAGCACCTCTTGATTTTCGATGGAAGTTTCGATAGTTCTGATTCAAGGCTTGGACGTGGTTGGACTTCGGGATTTCCCTGGGCCCTTCCTAATTCTGGTCTCCACTGTTGCCGATTTGCATAAGCTCATCGGATTGGATAGGCATTAGCGATGTTAGCAACAAAAACAAGAGGACATTATTTTCATTCCGAAACTCCTCGAATGTGAATAAAATTGAATGTACACACGATTTTGTATACGTATTACGAGTATTCAGTAATGCATTGTACGTTTCATGTAAAGTAATACATCGATACAAGTTGGAGCAAACATAAATTCACTTTGGAAGTATCACTATTAGACGTATTTAAATCAAAAGGAACTAGATCCACTTTGACTTGAGCCCTGAGATCCATAAGAATATATGCATGACAAAGCTCATGTTACAATGGATGTAGTTCCATTTGATTTAAATGCGTCCTATTGGGACGAACCGATATGTGTTTGAACTTGCAATTTCAATATATACGGCTATGTAATGTAAGGATGATATTTAGTTGAAGTTTTATACGTTTAAGCCTTAGTTTTCAAATAAAAACTTTTTTTTTTTTTTTTCATACGCATCAGTCTTCACTTTCAAATTTATTAGTGGGTACAGATAAATTCTTGCGTGTTCGAAAGGTCATAACTCCTCAACTTAGCTTTACATGACTCTACACCTCTTTATAGATATCTAGGCTTTTAAATGGCTAACTAGCAATGCATATCAGCTGATACAAGCAACTATTTCAGCTCTCAAGTCGCTCACTTTGCCTATCCAAGTTTTTGAAGGCAAACTGCTTGGAACAAGCGCTGCGCATTGCTGCTACCAAATGCGGTCAAAACCGTAGCCGGTTAGTTGCAGGGCTTTCATAATTTACTCTGATCACAAAAATGAAATTATTTTGTTATACGCTTGATTGTTTTTGACTGAAATATATTCCTCCCTAAACAAGAAGTCCAGATAAAAGAAAAGAAAAGAAAAGAAAAAAAAAAAAAAAAAAAAAACAGTTACAGAAGAGGCGGCGATGTTTACCAAATGGGTTACCTCATGCATTTGGCGGTTGAACCCAGGCCCGCCACAAGGGGGGGGATACTGGATCCTTGGTACCGGGGCCCGGGCCCTGGAGGGGCCCGTGACGCAGGTGACAAACCAGTACGAATTCATGTGTAACCCTTGTCTCGTAGGGAAAAGTGAAAAAATTACCCTAAAAATTCCGCAAAAGGTGAATAAAATTTCAAAAACACGCTAGGGCACTATAAAATTTTTCTTACATTTTTAGAGATTTCTATCCATTTTCAAGATTTTGAGTAAATGTAGAATGATATTTTTGGTAACTGCGTTTCATTTTCTTTCGTTGTTGGATGCTAAGAGGCGCCTGTCTGGGCATCCTCGACTTCAACGGCTCAACTCCCTTACCATAGACGTACGAAAGGGGAGTCCCGGGGGGCCCGGCTCCCCCTAGAATTGAAAAGTATCATCTGCCCCCCTCAAAAAAAAATTTATAGATGTTTTGAATGCAACAATTTGAAAGTATTTGGTGCTGAAAGTAAAAAAAAAAGGTAATTATACTGCAGAAACTGATGGAAAATCTCCATCATAAGAGCTTCAAAATGCGTCCAAATAGATTTAAATTTTCAAAATATTTCCCGGGGGAGGCCCCCCGGACCCCCCTCTGTGCTAGGGGCCCGGGCCAGAAAACTGGTACCAGGGCCCGAGATGGAATGTGGCGGGCCTGGTTGAACCCGTCTAAACTTTAAATGTATGGGGATTGTTTTCCTAATACTTTTTCCAAAGGTGTCTCTCATACCCTCCATTCGAGTTTTCTAAATGGTCCCTTTAATAATTTTTTAATATACCGAGGTGGCAGCTGTAGTTTTGATGACAGTCAAAACTATTTAGGGGCCCGGTTTCTCAGAAATTTTTGGGGCTGATAATATGACACACACAACTTTGACGAAGGAATATTTTACAAAAAATTTTTCTTCTACCTACAAAAAATTGGAAATTTCATTAGTTTAAAGTCTAACCAATATGGATGGAAAAAAATATTTTTCGGAAAAACTTAGGCAACAATGTTGCAAACCAATTGTGAGATCGGTGCGCATGATATGTGGTCTATTGAAATGTTGAGGATTCCCTTTGTCGTAACTAAAGAGGAGGAGCTCTATTCTTGCATGAATTCAAGGTAATGCGCTTTATTCCTGAAGCTCTAGTTTTCTAGGTTGCTTTACTAAGTAACAGGCTAAATTTAGAGCCTAATTCTTATCAATTTGATTTGATAAGCCCACCAAAAAATTATTTCTTGATATATCGATGACGCGAAAGACTGGATAATCGAACCCAAGAAAGAAAGCTGGGGGAAGTGTATATTTTTTACGACGATGCAACCTACAATTTAAGTTTTTAAACTTACTAATCATCCCTTTAGCTCTGTCATGAATATCTTAATCATTTGAGCGTCCTTAATCATTTGAGCGTCCATCTTTACTTTGAATATAAATAGTTTGACTTTGGCAGAAATCGAATTCATCGGAATTTATGGGTTATAAGGGGAATTCATTTTACTTAAGGACAAAACAGTGTAATGGTATACTAAGCTACACAATACGCATGACTTGGTGTTGTAGCCACCGCCAGAAATAATTAATTACACCTAAATACATTTAAAGTGTCCACATTTCCCTGGTGAAAATTGGCAGTAGAATCTGTGTTCCAAAATACCATAGACCTACAGCCGGCTGTAAGATTTCCAATAGCTTCTATAGCCGGCTACACAATTTCTTATAGCATTTTATATCCGATGGCGACTAAGCAACAGACAGGCGATAAAGTGTATGCTAAACATTACTAATTACGGATGCTAGGACTGAGTTTTTGGAATACTGCTCTCTTTTTGGGCCGTAGTATCTTGATTTATTTTGCGAGGAAAGCTCCGTACTCCATACTTTTGATGGATGCCTGCCATTACTAATATATTAGAACGCCTTCAGTTTCGTATGATACTGTGAAATACCTCTGCGGGCCGATTATTGAAATTTAAACCAGGCCGATAAGACATCGAATTGCGATAAATTGCATGGTTGAGATAGGGCTATGTCTTATCGTGTCGGGCTGACATAGTTTCAATAATCGGGCCGCTGGTTTGAAATAGTTACTTCAAGCGCCGTGGCAGGCGGGCAGCCAGCGCGAAACACGTATTGGCGCCTACAAACCTAACAGGGATACTTCACGCGTTGCGCAATGCGAGAAGTATCCCTGTTTGGTTTGTAGGCGCCAGTGCGTCGCCGCTCCGCTTTGTGTTAGGCTCTAATATTTAATCTGGCGGAGTCAGCGTTATTCAACTCATGATTTTGAAATGTTTGCACATCCTGTATGGATTATTCTCATTTTAATTGATGAAAAAAAATATGTATTAAAGGAAAATATAATGTGTGTTTTTGTAAATATTAAAGTGCTTCCGTATCAAACTTAATGATTTCCAAAGCACACGAATTTTTACACAATTTCTTATAGCCTTTTATTATCGATGGCGAAAAAGCAACAGCCAGACAATAAAGTGTAAAGCCCGGCGATAGGAACTATAGCCCGGCTGCATAATTTTTTATCGCTTCGTATAGCCCGGTCATATGATTTTCTCCGCATTCTACAACCAGCTATATGATTTTCTGTAGCCTTCTTTAGCCGGCTATAATAATTCCTATGGTATTTTGAAACGCAGCTCTTATCGCCAATTTTTACCAAGGTTGTGATGCGGTGCAATGTTTGGCAGTGTTTGAAAATGTCTCAATTTATTTTCCTCCCTCTTTTATGTAAAAAAAAACTTTGACAAAGGACGAAATTTTTAAGCTATACCGATAGACTCATAGGCAGTTCACATGAGGATATCCTATAATCAGCATACAATCTGATGTTCTAGCGATTAAGACATCGAACACGTCTAACAAGGATGGTAAGATCTCAGGTGATATTTTCGTTGATTTGACTGTGAATTTTATCACCGGCTATCGTGGTTATATCGTAAACATATTTAGCCGCTGCAAATTACACTTGAAGTTGTCACATTTTCATGAAATGATTAAATTCTTGGTTCGATAAATTTTGTCACGGAAACATCCTCCTGTGTCAGCATATCGTTAAATCAACTGATTGAACAAAAATGAGATTGACTGACAGCTGCCAGCACCTGGGACTTGGTGATGTAAGTTCATGAGAAAAACTCAATTTCCAATCCATTTTCTTTTTCGCGATGGTTCGAGTGTACATTTTCTGGATATCCTACGGATGGGTAGGGCGGGGTGCAGTACACGAACGTATGGAACACGTAAATCAAAAAGACGGAACCAACATTTTTTTTTTTCACTTACATCAATCACTTGCAAGGAATTTATTTTTTCTAAAGAGCTAACTGCGCTATTTTTCAGGACTGAGTTTTCTATTGAGTCACATAAGCCATAACCTAGGGGCGCAACATTCTGAGGCGCAAACTTTTCTAGAGTTCTAAAACGTAAGTACCCACGCATTAAAAACCCTTCTAGGATAGCGGGAGGGGGGTTGTGTCAAACACCCCCTCCCCATGAAAACACCTATTTTTTGGGGGTGCCAAACAAAGCTCAGTTAGAAGCTGAAGATATGATTCCGGCACTTTTTTCATGAATGTTTTGTTCCCAGTGAATGCAGTCGGTATGTACGTGCCCTTTTAACCCGAAATTGGGCAGACATGACAACACCCGTGACCGTAATACGAGGTGCGGAGATGAGCGAAAAGTGAGCGTATCCCATCTTCAGCGAGGATTTCTGTGTCATAGCCGTCACGAGCTCATCGCGAACAGCCAGGAATCAATGCAACCCGAAACTTGAGCCCTGAACCCCCCCCCCTCCGCCTTCACTCCCCGCTGTGGCGCGAAATTGGTTACTGTATTCCCCGCTCACGTCACTCACCCTTTGAGGCCGTTGAGACGTTTGAATGCACCTTGGGAGATCAATGCTTATCAAATCCACGACTGAACTTTAAATTCCGAGGTTTTACTCGCGGTTCTATTTTTATCTCGAGTGGATCGCGTTGATATTTGGGTCGCTTGTCCCGGAAAGTGTCCAACTGCGAAAGGAAAATTCCAGGAAACTATAAAACCTGAATTCAGTCATTCCCGCTGCAGCACCAAACGGCACATCTCTTTGACGGAAAATTGTGTTCGTATGGATTGCATTTTGCAAAAAGGAACCACTATCATTGCAATGTTGCTAAGATTGTGAAACTTCTTTTGTCTTGGAGGAAAAACCTGATTATCCATTAATAGTTTCTATTCTACTCGCTAAAAACTGTGAATTTAAGACAAAAATTACCATCTAAATTTCATAGTTTTTCACGATTTCCGCAATTTTATTGCAAAGGATGAAGTTGCACAGTCTTAGCATCATTGCAATGCTAGTGGTTCCTTTTTGCAAAATGGAATCCATATGAGCATTTTCCCTCGGTATTTAGATTTCCAGCTTTGTGCTGATTTTTAACGCGCGTTGGCTACGTCACCAACTTTTTCTGTCAAAAATGTTCGGTGAGTATAACTACTAGTTCTGGCTGTGTCTAGAGATATGTGTCTAGACGTTCACTTCGTACATGTCGTCACCCTCCGGCCGAAGTATCACAAGCGCCATGCGACGTTTCAAAATTTCCGCCGCTATAATATTTTTTTACAGAGATCTTGTTGGTTAAATCTGTTTGAAGATTTCACTAAATTTTATCGGCAGTACTAAGAAAATTCCGTGAAATTTTCGGATAACTTCGTTGAATAATTTGTCAGTAAAATAATGAAATGGCGACGGAAATCGTGAAACGTCGCATGGAGCTTGCGATACTCTGGCCGGAAGGTGACAGTTCGCCTACAATTTTCGGGGTAGGCAACACGGGCTCCCACGTGATCGAATAATAGTATCGTCGTGAAATGTCAAGCTTACTTGGAACACATAAAGGTGCGAAAAAAATGACTTTAATACTTTCTTAGCTCGCCTTAAAACCATTCAAGGCAAAAGGAACTCTTACATGGCCGAATACATAGAGTAGGCACTTTTGCATCGAAATGCAACATCCGTCGATCTGTTGAAACTGCACCACTGACCAATCAAAAGCCATAAAACGGAATGAAATGCAGGGTTGCAATTTTTCATGAGAAATAAAATCTTGAAATTTCATTTGAAATATTTCATGAGATTTCAGAAAAATGTGAAAAATACAGAAACATACATTTCGAAATTAAACGCAAAATTTAATGAAACGCGACTGGGTTTTGCTTCTTAGTGTTTTTAGTGCGTATTGCATACCCAGCCCCTGAAAATATTTCATACTCTTCATTTTTCTTCAAAATTCTATGAAATATTTCACGGAAATTTTCAAAATTTCATATTTCTCATTTCACCCGTGTAACCTTGCTGAAATGCAGTCGTGATGCGACATCCTGCTGAGTACATTCATGTATCATTCCAATACGCCCGTTTTTCTCGACTGAAGACGGTCCCTGGATAGAATAGGATTCACATACTGCGTCTTCCTCAGTGAGGTCTGTTACAGTAAGTTAAGCATGTTGTATAATGTGATCAAAAACATGGGAGCCGCCTATTGTTCCACGAGTGAGATCCTAATCTAGCTCAAAACTGTGTCTGTCGGAATTGTGCCTAATTTGCTTGCGCCGAAACAGCCTCGCTGACTGCTGAGACGCGAATGTCCGAATGATCTACATTTTTTTGTCGTCTAGGATGCCGGTGAGCCCGCGTAACTGCCAGACCTCGCGCCTCGAAATCAGCCTAGCGTGCAACTCCTTGTCAGCTCAACACGGCTGATGATTGATGGACTTAAACTGGAGGTTCCCGTAACTTCCACATGGGTTTAGGTCGAGTAAGTACCATTCTAGGGAGAGTATGGGCCGTTGGAGGATTTTTAAAAACTCACCAGAGGCCATAAATTGATGGGATGGTGAGAGCCATGATTGTTGAGAGGATACCGACCACTCCGATGGAAATTCGCATGACCCAAATGATCTCCATCTCAGAGGCCTGTAGAATACGAAAAGAATAAATCAAATTAAAATCTGAACGGATAAAAGAAAATTGAACACACACTATGTAACAACCGTCTAAACAACCAGCGGTAGCGCTCGTCTACTGCATATGGCCTTATAAGCCTTTTTCTCAAAAATCTTTGGTATCAGCTCTGATTGGACCCATAATTTAAATACGCGCGGTATTCTTATCAAAAAGAACTCTCAATGTTGATATCTATGCCATTACATATTTGAGTTATTTCCAAAAATGCTGGTACTATACGTACACGCAAAAACCTCAAACTAAATCAGAGGCGCTTCCTCAACTAAAATTTTAGAGGGTGATGGTTACGCCAATACTCATTGCTGTTTGTATCCCCTTTAGCAGGAGAGGAACCAAGCCACATAAGCTATTGCCAAATTTAACTGGGCACTTTAATTTTTTACAACGGAACGTTGGTGCGGATTTTGTAGGAAATTTTCAGGAATTTGCCTACTATACAGAAAATTCACTGAAATTTGCGACAAACAATAAATCCGCACAACCGTTTTTATATGAAAAATTAAATTGGCAAATTAACTTTGGCATTATCTTATGAGGACGGTTCCTTCCTGCCTAACGCGGCCTATTTCGCCTTCAGTTGGTGAGTTAGGCCACATTTAGATCCTGCAGGAAAAAATGTACTTTTGAGCTGCACTCTCAGAACCATCTTCACCTCCCCATTTGCACTTCCTGCGGGCTGATTGTTGAAATTGATAGACAAAACTGTAAAAAAAAGAAGACCAAAGGGATACAGAAGGATCCTATTGGTGAAATTGGGTGGCTCGGTGGCCGCAATAGACAAAGAGGTAGGTAATAGACTAACAAACGGCGACAAACGAGAGGGCCTATACTGAGTCCATAATTTAACCCCTTAGTCTATAAGAACCACCCGTTCAACCAATGGGATCCCTCTATAATCCCCATGCCTTCTTTGTCTATCGTTTTGTCTATAAACAACAATCAGCCCGCTGCTATGCTCCACCTATTTGCGCTTTTGGACTCGTACCTTCTGTCGAATGATGAGCCTGTAGACGTTTCGGGCGAACATGGAGCTCGCGGAGAGGACGCTGGAGTCAGCGGAGGACATGACGGCTGCGCTGACGGCTCCCAGCCCGAAGAAGGAAACCAGCGGAGGCGTCAAGTAGTGGAGCACCATCGGCAGCACCATCGACGTCTCCCTCGCGGTCATCGGCCATGGTCCGTGGTATTCAGTCTCGTTCCAAGCTGTCAACAGACATTACCCCGCCGTTTAGATGCAAATATTTACAGATGCTCGCAGTAATAATAGTCTTGCATGCGTTATGCGTTTCACGCCGACCGCTGCTGCACGCACTAAGTTTGACGTAATGCGTGAGGTATTCATGCAGTCTTGTAGGCGCTATGCGTTTTACGCCGACCGCTCCTGACCGCAGCGACCGCACTATCTTTGACGCAGTGCGTGAAGTATTCATGCAGTCTTGTAGGCGCTAATATGTGTTACATGCCGACCGCCACGCCGCGCCGCGCCGTGGGTTTTTCCTGTTCATCTCAAGTTCTCGGCATCATTGTTCTCTGCGCCGCGCCGTTCCAGGCCAAATACCGTGTTCGGTTTCTCTCTTAGTCTTAACTCGACTAATTAAAGGTGCTGTCTATTGTATCACAGGAAGACGACAAAATTAGAGACATACTCTCGGGAAATGAGAGATTTTGTCACCTTTTTTCGTTTGTAATTTTTTCTCTGAATCCGATTTTTCTTTATAGCTATATTTAAAAAAAAAAATTGCAAAATTTGCCGCCATGGGCCGCGGCCTATGTGGTCATCCCCAACATCCGGCCGTGCTCAGCATTTTATCGAAATGTTCAACTTTCGCAAAGAATTTTCAGTCCCTCGCTGCGTTTCATCCGATTTAAAGAGTAGTTGGGGGAAGGAGTTGCTCTAAATTAAATATTGAGACGGACTGTGGGAAACAACGTTGCCCCCCCCCTCCCCTCAATCTCGTAAACGATAGAGACAATGCAAGTCATATTTTAATAATAAATGGGACTTTTAATGACCAAATGCGACATACGATACACGATTTGACACACAAAACACTGAATTTTCCATCGAACACAATAATAAATCAAACCGCGAATTTTTTTCCTTGCATCGTCATTACAACCCACTGAATTTTAATCGCCTGTATCAATTCCTTCACGTCATCTCGTAAAAACAATTGATTCTTAGTCAAGCGGCTACAAAAAATGGAAAAAAACTAATAAATAAACGATATGCTAGCTTTGCGTGTAAATATACAAATAGAAACTGGGTCACGCGTGGTTTCAAGCCTGAGCTAAGCACACTGTAAGGTACGAGTGTTTTTCAAAAATGTTTAAAGTGAAAACCAAGTATATATTTCTAGTGAAATTTAAATTGTCTTAAATACTAGTCTAACCTACCAAATTTTCTTTTATTCAGTCCAAAACCTTCGTAAAATTGGTTACTTCTGCATAATTAGAAGCTATGCTTTGAAAAGTTTCTAATATTCAAAATTATTAAATTTTTACTCATTTCTATACTGAAAAGATAGTGTTTTCTATTAAACTCAATAATTATCTGTAATTAGCATTGTTGTAAACTCATGTGTATATTTGATCTGGTTCTAATGGGGCCGCTTATAACCAGGAAGAATCCAATCCATGTCAGCTTTTACCAAATTTTAGAGGGTTTAATTTTTTACTTACAAACGATTGTGCGGAATTTTGTGCAAATTTTAGTAAATTTTCTGCATAATATTCCAAAGCAAATTTCTTAAATATTTTAAAGGAATTCGTACAAACTTTCTCTTGTAAAGTACTAAATTGCCCAGTCAAATTTGGCAATAACTGATGTAGATTCATTCCTTTCTGCTAACCGCGGTCCTACGAAATAGACATGTGGTACCTACATTTCCACTGAATAGGCGTTGATAGAAAGGTTCAATCGTTGAAAAGGTTATGCGATAACGAGAATTCAAATGACCTCAAAATGAAATTCAATCCAATTTATTTCAGTGAATTTCCCTCCGCTGCGACGAATATTCACCGCATTTTTAGACCGCGAAATAGCTATGATAAATTCTGTAATCAGCGGCTCACGTTGCACTCAACGCATAACCTTCATATGCATTTATGATTTAGCTTATTTTATGAACGTCGCTTCGTAAAATGGGAAAAAATTTGATATATTTCAAGCTGAAGAACGTCTGAAAAATGGGTCATTTTTGCTTATAAAAGCACCATTTGTTTGTATAACATTTTACATGAAGTGTGACCACTCTAATTTATTTCCTCATCCATTAGTGAAATGAATCCGTCAGTAGTGGGAACCCAAAAAAGCCAGCGCCGCTTTTAAAGTGATCCGTGCATTCAAAACATGCACACGTGTCTATGAGGATCTAATGAAGCATGGGATTGCAATATTCACCTCCCTACGTATTAATGTGTGCTGGTTGTTTTTGAACAGATGACCAGGTACTGTGAACGAATATCGATGAAATTTTTTAGGCGGCGACTGTAGGTAACGCTGTAAAAATGCCGTCGATGTAGTAATTTTGATGAAACTTTTCCAACTTACCGAGGGCAGAAATTGTTTTTTTTTTTGAGCGGAGGTGATGTATAAGTTATGTTAGTTCTTGTGTAAAAGTTATTGTGTATCTGTTTGAAAGTATCTCATTTTGAAAGCATCTTTTACAAAACAAATGTACTCACGCGTGGCTCGAGCAATAGCGCCAATAAGGACAGGAGGGATTGCCATGATGACACATCCAAATGCAGCTACAAATGATAGAATTTGGGCTTGGCTCTCTGAGCGACTTGATAAAACTCGTTGGAAGTACACCTGTGAACAGTGTAAATAACAATTAGGGTAATGAAATCCGAATCACAAAGCCTAGAGAGTACAAGTGATTAGAATGGACCACTAGACAGGGTACGAATTTAAGCATTCTAATACATGTTTCATAACCAAAATTTCACGTAGAACACGATTCGCGCAACGAAAATTGCTGAAACCAACTCTTAGCGAATATATTAACCTTTTTATTTCACATTGGTTACGAGGAATTTGAACTGGCTGCTCACAAGAAACTCAAAGCTCTACGTAAGTCAAATCGCGCACTACAATGGTTTCAGCAAGCTTCTCAATCGAGCAATGGTCATTTCCCACCATGTGTTGTTCAAACTATAAGCAATTTGCTATAGCTGAGCCAAAGCGTCAAGACCGAGGTTGCCAGATTTTTATATCGCTGAGACGTTCATGATAACGTTTAGCGCGCGATGTGAATCACGTAGAGCATTGAGTTTTCAAAAGCGGGTCGTTTCAATTCACGCATCAAGAATCATCAAATATCTTTGTAAGGAGTTAATTTCGGTAATTTTCGCTGTGCGTATCGTGTTTTACGTGAAATTTTGGTTAAGAAACATGTATTAGAATGCTGAAATTCGTACCTTGTCTAGTGGTCCATTATAAAATAGTTGAAAAATAAACATCGGTTAATAACTGTCTTATGCAAGAAACGGGAAACATCGACTCCAGAGGCGTGGCCTGCTTTGCAATATTTCAATTGATCCATCATTTAAACCTATAGAAAGAGATCGAAAGATAGGGTGTTCGCAACGAACACCTTAATAATCGATTCTTTACCACAGCTTCAAATGGGGAAATATCGAAAATCGATCATTCACGCCTCGCCACTGACTGACTCGGTTTGGAAGACCGAGCACAACACGTGAGGTCTGCTTTGTCAATTTTTTCCAACACATTTTAAAGAATCATGGATCCATTGAAAACTATTCGGACTCTGACATTACATATCTGGATTTTAATTACGAAAAAGGAGACAAAAGCGTTTGCCCCTACTACACATCGTTTCCTTTCAGAAAGCGTTCATAAATTAGGTAGTGCCCCCTAACCCCCCCACTTTTAACGCTTTGTGCCCAAATTCCCTATCCTTTAACACGTGAAAACAAAATGGCGCAACGCTCTCCTCGACATACTCCCCCTTCTCCCAGAGCGTCACATAATTATTTCTGATTGGTCACTGAGGAAAGGTTTAGGCGGCCTAATGAGTGGTTGCAATAGTTATACGACAGCTTTATAAAATGCCTATAAGATAGATTCATTAGAATTAATAAAGTTGTTTCCGCTAGTTACATTTCTCGATGGAAGACACCCCCCTCCCCAGCCTTAATGATCCCTTGATCTAAGGGTGAAATTTATGAAAAATGTTTTGGTTGGGCACCCGTGGTAAAAAAAAAAAAAATCGACGCTTATCAAATCGATTGAGCCGGAGTCCTAAAAAAGGAGCTTAGTCGGGAAAGCTGGGCATTTACAGCAAGAGCGAAATGAAATTACTTTGATATCCCCGGGGGAGCGGGGTTAGGGGGGAAGCGAGGGCAGAAACCGAAGCACCCCGACTTTTTATTTGAGTTCAACTGCTCTGACGTCAGTAGTAAGCATGGAACACATGAACGGCAGGAGCCAAGGTCATTTACTTGTTCCCTTTCATAATTGATGTTCCGCCATGAACCGTGGTTTGTCTCCACCCCCTTCCCACCCCCACCCTTGCACGTCGCCCACACCCCCGCAACCTCTTTGAACCACCCCCCTCTCTCCCTGAAACTGCCGCCTTTGTTTCTTCCTGCGCGTCTTTTGTTGCTTTGCTGATAGATCATCAACTAGGTGAATGTCAAATTAAGCGAGGAATTGATGATGAGGAAAGCTCCTTTCCAATGATGCCAGAATGAGCGGATTTATTTGATTATTTGTAATTTACAAGCCGTTATCACTTTTTTTACAATGCAATTTTTTTAATTTATTTCCGGGACACAGCAGAAACTCAGTGATTTACCGATTTTCTCTATGTATGGGTTTTTGCCCATAGATCGTTCATTTCAACAAAAACATTTACAAGCCAAAAATTCATGCAAAATCCGCTCACTTATTAAATTGTCTATACTTCAGTTCCTATGTTGTTCTTTTTTAAAACTTTTATTAAAACTTTTTTTTTCCTTTTTTCCATATTGACTATGCGATCATACATTTGGATTACATTTTGCAACAAGGAACTACTATTTCTGACATGTGCTTTTATGAGAGAGCCAGATACAGTGGTTCCTTATTGCAAAATATAATCTACTTATCGTGGTTGTTTCCTTTGAAGATGGTGTCATGCTTTAACACTTAGTCCATCGATTATCGACACATCAATTAATTACATACGGCGATCGATGAAGATAGACATATTATTTAGACTTAAATAATTTACGTCTTTCGTTCAATTTTGAACTGGAGTAATTCTTGTCTTCTATTTAAATAACTTCGGACATCTTCCTCTCTTTTTCCTTTCACCTTCTTTTTTTTATACTTATTACTTTTCTCATTAAATTATATCTGCAGCTAAACTGAAGATCATAAAGCTAAGGAAGCCTTGTAAGTTCAGTATGCTTTACGACTTTTCTCACAAATGACATACAGCATAACACGTCTGTTTTACAGCACGTAAAATTCTTACACATCCGCTAACGAAGAATCCTCCGTAAGTATACAAGACCGCTTCATGTAGAAACTCGTAAAGGCTACGTGCTTTTTCAAACTTTCCTCATTTTATACCTCGTTGCTCCTCTTTACTCCGAGTTTTATTTTTCAGGTCACTGGCCTCAGTCCCTCTAAATAATTACCGTGTGGGTCAGCATTTTTTCTGCGTTGTTGGATTATTCTGACGTATTTCTGCCAAACGAAATTATGTGCATTAAAACATAAACCTTGAGATTCATAAGAATATTTGCATAACAGGGCTCACGTCATAATGCACATAGTTCCGTTCGTCAGAAATATGTCCATCCTTATTTCTTTACCAACGATTTACTTCATATAGTGCGGCGCGCAGCGCAACATGTGCATTTCAGGCATTTGGGTACAGACAAGAAAAGTCATGGCGCCTTCAAGTTGTTTCATGCAACACGCTCATTCATAGAACACGAATAGTTGCATCCAAGTGATGTGAAACTTTGCCTCTGTACGCGCATCTATTGGCTGTAAGACTGAGAGAAACATAGGACAACTCGACGGTGAATGAGAGATTACCAAATAAAACTACGTATCTCGATTTGCGAATTTTGCGAATCTCGTGTCACATGTTAATTTCACGTTCCAAAGAAGGCCTGATTATTGTTTTTGCTCAACATACTGTTAGTTTTTCTTTGTTTTATTGACAATATTTCCAAAAAAATTCAAGCAGTGTTATTAAAAATAGATAGACAACGAGTGAAAATTATCAAATACCGTATTATAGGTCTATGGTTGGCTAGTTTCATCCCTGCTGTGGTGGTCAAGCACCGGCGCGGCGCAGTGCGGCGCGCAGCGCAACATGCACATTGCGAGCATTTTGATGCAGGCGAGAAATTCAGGGCGCCTTCAAATGTTTTTAAGCAACACGCTCATCCATAGAACACGAATAGTTGTATTCAGGCGCTGTGATAAACTTGGCCCTTTTTTGCACACCCATTGGCTATAAACGGAAGGTAAACGCAGAACAATTCGATGGTTTCTGATGAATGCTCAAATGTCGAAGGAAATAAAACCTGAAAGCTAACATGTTTGTTTGTGATCATTGCACAAAAGATGATAAATGTATATGTAAAAACTCACCTGCCAAGGTATTCCTCCAAAAATCAAGAGTAACCCGTAGTCCACGTAAGGCCAAAAATCCTCTGAATTAATTTCTCCAATCCAATCAACGTCCTGAGATGCTAGCGGTAAAACTTTAGGATTTGCCCAAGCAAAAGGAACACACAACCACTGAAACAAAATACACAAAAACGTGAAGTTTCAAAAGCTTTTTATAATTCTAACTTCCGTTCGTTTTCGCTATCATTTTAATTGTCCTAGAGGTGTTTTTCATACTAGGTGACCAGATCTTAAATTCAAAGCTTGACTACCACCTAGATACACGGTAAGTAGGAACATCGTATCAAGAAGACGAATTGTTTAGAGTATAATCATGAAAATCTTTGTGCGACCGAAGCAGTTCAAAGTTGTGTTCACTAATATTTCTCAGCGGAGCCTAGATCAAAATCAGAGCCCAGTCCAGAAGTGGAGACGGAAGGTTCCATGGTCTTACTTTAAATTATGGAGAAAATTAGGGCATACAGGATACAAATCAACGTGCTCCTAAGTCGAGAAATTGCCTACCGTTGCAGAATGAAGGCAAACATATGAACGTGGGAGGGACTGGGCATCGCCAACTTGGTACAATTTTTGCAAAAAAAAGTCGCAAAAACCACGTAAAGTACATCAGAATCCTCCATGAACCTGGTCCTTGGGGAATGAATAGAACTTTTGAAAAAGCGCCGTACGCACTACGCCAATTGGGCTTTCAGTAGTAGATTTCAGACAACCTTGGGATGCGCAACATGAATTTCGTGTCATTTTTCCTGTAAAGTGACGCATTGAAACTAAAATAACTATTCTGATCGTGATCTGGACTAAGAAACCTAAAAGAGAACATATATCACAGGATTCAAATCACAATGAAGATAGTTTATTTTGATCTAAATGGTCAACACACTGGAAAAAAACACATTGGATCTAGAGTCCGGACTCTTGAAAACATAGACAAGAAAAAATACTCTTTGGTGCAATCGGATATTTGCTTGAATCAAAACGAAATCCGCTTAAATTAAGAGGCTTGGTTCTTGATTTAAGCTAGATTCTGATTGAATCAAGAGTACTTTTTCTTGTCGATGTTCTATAGAGTCTGGACTCTAGATCCAATGTGTTTTTTTTCCAGTGCATGATGCTGTCAGTTGGCAATGTATGACTCTTTTACGCAATGGTCCCATTTCGACGAAACGGTTTTTACTCATGCAGCTGAAAAGCGTTCGTAGAAATATTTGCGGGGCAAGTTCTACGGATGTTCGTCCACGTAAACACAACCTGCGTCATACAAATTTCAACGAACGGTAAATTCGCCGTTAGCGCATTCATTTTTCCATGTGTTCTCGAAAAAACCCGACAGCAAAGTGCGAGCGAATGTCAGTTCCTATACTGGATTCAAATAGCCTCACTATGTACCTATGCGTCAGTGTATTGTGTAAAATTGGAAATGAAGTTGGTTTAGCTAGAAAAATTGTTCCTGCAATATAAATGTCAGGAAATTTTCAGATTTGCGACAGTCTTCATCGTGATTTTCTCCTTAGCAACAGGATACGAACGGAAAAATGAGTAAGTGATCCTACAATCCTTTAACACAGTTGAGTCAATTGTTTGGAAAAGGAAACTAGTCCATTTTTGCATGAACCTTGGCTTGCATAAAAGGACATGCTAAGAACGACTCATCGAGGAATAGACCTATTCCCTTTTGAAAACAAATGATTCAATTAAGTGTCATTTTAAATGAAGCTGTGGCGGGGGTAGCTTTTCAATTCTCAATTAACTCCTCAGTCCTGCCAGAGGAAAACACGAGGACCGGGATTTTGGAAGCGGGATTTAGTGAAAGTAATAAATCTCACTTTAAATCTCTTCACCTCTCCGAATCCTTCTCTCCAAATTCATGGGTCGTTTTACGTCCTACCTTTTCACATCATTTTATTTCCTTTCTTTCTTTCGATGCAGTGTTATTAGAAGATTGAATACTCTCCACAGTTAATTATCGTGTAAAAATGGACTCTTATGAGGAGAAGCAGACGAGAGACTCTTTATCAAACGTGGAGGAGAAAACATAATCAATGCGTGGTTTCAAAATTTTAAATGTTTTGTTTCTGGCATTTTTGGTCTCTTGAAGGATGCTTCCACATTTTTTTAAAAATTTTCTTTATAGTTTGGAAAAAAGGGCAATGCCTCTCAATAGGCGCATTAATATAAAATTTACACCTTCGTGTTCTACATAAATGACAAAAATGAGTGATGAAACTTTCAAAACTTACTTTAAACCCACTTTTTCACTTAAACTCAGTTTTCTTTCATTTATTGGAAAAAGACACAAGTCCAAAATTTCAAAATAACCTCGAAAGTTACTGCAAATTTTCTCACCAAAAAAAGAATTTTAAAACTTTTAAACATCGAACCATCTTTTGAACACTCCAGAAAAGTCATAATAGTAATCAAAATCAGTTTTTTGCCTGCACAATTTGGTTTTGAGGACATACGTCCTTCTAGCAGGAACCGATTCAATCAGCGACAATGTATGCCCTTCGGGGTTTTCCCCACAGGTATATATTTAGTCAAGATAGTTCAATAATTTATTACAACGATCAGCAACTAGGCTCTTTACGTCGGAGACCAGTAATTTACCTTAAATTCTTAGAGCCCTTGCATAAAGAGCTTCAAAATGTCGGCAATTATATATTTATTTTAACATTATATACTTAATGAACGACCCACAAGTTGTTTTTGCACAGCATAGTAACATTCTGCCCTGCGAAGGAAAAACGCCGTATGAACCTTCAGGCGCTGCCAAATTTCCTTTATTAAATCACGAATTTTATGGTAAACTTATGACTATTTTCCTTCCAATTTTTCAGACAATTTTGTTGGCAATCTCACATAAATTTCCCAAAAATTTCAAGGAACAATATTCATAATGTTCCACAAAAATAAACATTTTATCGAAGTAAATTTGGCAACTCTGGAATGTTCATACGGCGTTCTTCCTTAGCACGGCAGCATTGCTGACAAATGGATTACATTTTGCAATTAGGAGCCACTATTTCTGGCCCATTTTAGAAACAACATACATTCCATTCGTTTCCCTATGCAGATTTGTGATTTTATGTGAGAGCCAGAGATTGTGGTTCCTTATTGAAAAATGTAATCCAATGTCCTCTCATCGTTAGACACAGTTTTCGCGGCATTCCTTGTGTTGGGGGCGGCCTTGTGCGTGGACAGCACGGAGTTGATTCCAGGGAACGCCTACTCGACCCCCATGTTCCAGTTTTTCGGGGGTCCCGCCTGGGGGCCACTCCACACCTTCTACGCCCTCTCGCCGTCCACGTTCTTCAACATCGTGCCCAACCGCCACAACTCCTGGACCACCACCCCCAAAATCCTCACCGTCAGCGATCTGGACAAGGTTCCCGAGTGGGAGGGCCCTCTTCCCTGGCGAGACACCGTTGACCCACAAACTGCTATCGCTCTCGCCAAACGCATGGTCGGCAAGTAAGTACAAAATACATAAGTTTCACAGTTGAATCAGTGAGTTAGAAAACACACCAACTCGGAAAAAAAATTGTTCAGGAAACACCTAAAACTGCGCAGCGGGCGAAGAAGTTAGTTTAAGGTGATTCGATGGAAGTCAATTTTTTTGTCAAAGCGACGTGCGATATATCGCATTGATTAGCTCCATAATTTCAGCTACTCGTCATTTTTCTCCAATTTTGAGATCGCAATTCTGTTGTCAGGAGACTAAAGCGCTCACTTACCAATTTTAACAAAGAAATTCAGTGTAATAAACGCGTGGTTTTTTTTAGAGAGAAAATATCGCATTCGAGTGCAGTTTCGATATCAGTATCGAATGCGATATTTTCTCTCTAAAAAAACCACGCCTTTACTACGTTGGATTTCTATGTTAAAATTGGTGAGTCAGTGCTTTAGTCTACTGACAACAGAATTGCGATCTCAAAATTGGAGAAAAATGACGAGTAGCTGAAAAAATTGAACCAATTGATGCGATATATCGCATGCCGTTCTGACACAAAATATGGCGTCCATCGAATCACCGATTGCAGTTTCGAAATTTCCTTTTGCGTGCAGATGCTTCTATCCATAAATGTTACTAAACCGTAAAAAATTGAAAATCGAAAAAAAACCCGAGTTGGTGTATTTTCGTACTCACTGATTCAGTTATTGTTATAAGAGCGGCCATGGATAGTGGAGTCCCTAGATATGGACACAGAGTCTCTTGGAGACCTTTGGGGGCCGTTCAAACATAACGTGAGCCACTTTGGAGGGGGAAAGGCGTATGTGATATCTTGCCTTATGGGGCCTTACGAGGGAAAAGGGAGAGTTAGTCCAAGGCAACATTATATGAATGATCATTTATTAAAAAAAGACAGGTACAATCTTCCCTTAACATGTTCAAAACCGACAGTAAATTGTTACTGTCGCACTCTGTTTTACTACCTCAGTTTTTCCCGATTTTATTCGTAATCGTGATCGTAATCGTGATTAATTTCGCTAATCGTCATCGAATCGTGATCGAATTGAAAAATCCATAATCGCACAGGTCTAATTATGAATCATTAACAGGGAGCTCCTGTACCGTCGTCATCGTTGCAACTGTCGACACTACACCGACTACCTCCTGTACGGCGAGACGTTTGGCACATGGTGGGATGTCACCTACATGACCATCAGCGACGACTGCCCTTTGCACGAACCCCTCAACTCTGCCACAAACGTCACCTCCTCTTTCACACTGCGGGACGGTTTCGGCAATACTACTCCACTGGGCCCCGTGGACCCGGACCTCTGAAGGTCCGTCTTCTACCTCTTTCTCTGCTTAAAATGTTAGATTCCACACTACAGTTTTGCTTACACGATCCTCATCATATATGGAATGTTTCGTTTAGATTTGAGCTTGAAACTAATCGAGAGATAGTGGTGTGGCACTTTGCATAAAAACACCAATCAAACATTACCTACGCCTAAACGAGATGCGCATCTCCAACCGCCCAACGTATTTTCTCTTCATAAAATGTATAAAATCTGTGAAAATATAAGGAATATTACCATATAGGATTCTGTTTTTAAATCACGTTTCACTATCATTTTGCATTTTTAAAAAAAATTTGGAACTTAGTCATCAAGGGATTGTCGCGTGTTGAAAGGGTGTAGGCACCATGTTGCACTAATGATGAGTAGCTTACACGGGTTTTGGTACCATGTTGCTTCAATCTGTAGGACAACCGAATAGAAGCACTATGTCACGGCTAAAATGCGGTTTCTACCATGTAGTTTTCGAGTGGTTAATTGAGACGGACTGCAACATCTAAAACCGCGCTAGGCGCCCCTACATGAAAACGCACACGGAATAGCAATGTTTCTGGGAGAGCAAAAAGTTAAAATTAATTTTAGGCGAACACTTATGGGAAAATAACACTTAGATTCTGCTGATTGAAGAAGACAGGCTCTTTATTGACGGCACCGGATTACAAGAGATGGAAAATCTGCACCTAGTTAAAATATCATAGAATGACTTGCGAGAGCTTAAAAGAGGACATGTAGTCGTAGCTAAGGTGGTCGACGCGAAGTAAGTTTCGTAGCTTACATCCCAGGCTAAGTCGGGCCAGAAAATCAACTTTTAGGCTGTGTTGTATCAGTCATCCGGTGCGTAGATAAAGGAGATATTAAAGAGATAAGATGGTGCGCCTGATTGTATACAAGCATCGGCTTAAGGCTTCATAATGCTTGTCATGAGAAACAAAAAGAGAGACAGAAGAAATGAGGGAGAAAAGGATGGACGAAAAATCTGTCTCGGGGCAAATTTAGAACTTAGCGTTGCGTAACACGCGACATCCCCCGGAGTTAGAAAATTGCGATCTCACAATTGGAGACGCTGGACAGAAGGTCCGGAAAAAAAGGGTGTCCAAAAAAAAGTGAAGATACCACCGAGAAAAAAAATTCGACTGGGACCCTCTTACTTATCTTCAGATATATTGAAAATTAAAGCTTACTGATGCGTTGGGGTTGATGAATAACATATGTATAGATCAGTATATAGGTGAGTACCTAAGATCTATACCTTCTCCTTGGGAAAAATAATTATTATAATCAGAGCCGGATTAAGAGGGTGGCCACATGGGCCGCGGCCTGTGGCGGCAATCTTTTTTAATGTAGTTATCAAAAAAAAGAAGAAAAAATCGGATTCAGAAAGTAAATTACAAACGAGAAAAGGCGATAAAATCTCTCATTCCCTAAGGATAAAAGTATAATAATTTCTAATTTTGTCGTCTCTCGATGATACAAGAGACAACACCTTTAACTAGTCGAGTTAAGAGAGAAACCAAACACGCAATTTGACCTTGAGCGGAGCGGCGCAGAGAGCATAGATGACGAGGGTCGAGGACTTGAGATGAAAAGGAGACGCCCTCGCCGCGGTGGTCGGCATGAAACGTATAGCGCCTACAAGACTGCATGAATACTTCACGCGTTGCGTCAAACAGTGCGGTCAGCAGCCGCAGCGGTCGGCGTGAAACGCATAGCGCCTACAAGACTGCATGAATACTTCACGCATTGCGTCAAACAGCGCGGTCAGCAGTCGCAGCGGTCGGCGTGAAACGCATAGCGCCTACAAGACTGCATGAATACTTCACGCATTGCGCCAAACACAGTGCAGTCGGCGCGGTGACGGAAGTTAAAATTATTAAACCACATCTATGTTTGTTCTTTCATAATTTTTTTCGTTCGTTTGTTATAAATGGAGGGCCTTGTCCAAACAGGGATGAGTTTACGGAACTTAACTTTCGCGTAAAGTTCCGTGACTTTTTGTTAATGTTGACGGGGCTTTCTCAAAAAATTTGCCTAATACGAGTAAACGCGTCTCATACACCCCTCTCTCACCGGCACGTTCACTAAACAAATGAGAAGGGGGCGGAAAAATACAGGCGGCCCATGGGCGGCAAGAAGGTATATCCGGCCCTAATGATAATCACCCCATATCCCCTTTTAATTCTGGTTTTTTCATCTCAAAGAGAGTGTCATTTCGAAAGTCTAAAAACAAATGTCAGCGAGAGACGAAATTGAGACCGAAGAAGCAGTCATAGTTGGTGCTTTTTCTTGGAGGGATGGGGTAAGGAGGGGGATCCCATACAGGAGAAAACTTTTCAAAATCAAAAAAAATGACGTTTCTTGGAAAAATTTTCCGGTCATGGGCGGAGATTCTAGACATCAGTCCTTCCCCCTGTCTCCCTCCTGGGGTTGAAAAAACGTTCTCATAGAAGAGAGAGGTCGTTTTGCATTAACTTATTCTACTTTTGCTTAAAATGTTGATTAACTAGAGTTGATGAAAATTTCTGTTTCCTTCAATCAGCTAGTATAAAACTGACGTTCTAAGGGTGAAAATAGCCACTTACCAAACCTATAAAAATGCAAAATAGTTGAATGACGTCTGTGTAGGCGACGCTGTACAAGCCACCGAAAAGAGTGTAGAATACTGCGATGCAGGCTGAGAGTATGACGCTAGTTTTCTGATCCATGTCGATAATAACGCTCAACGTCGCTCCTGCAATATAAAGAAATGTGTCTCTCAGTTAGGTAAGTAAATTAACTGCAATTGAGAGGTGTTTGATATGCGAACCTTTGGATGGGGATTTCGTTTAAGATGTGAACACTGAAAATGAGATCCTTCCTGAAAATGGTGAGTTTTGTGGATCGTCTTGTTTTTGCCATACAAGTAATAAAAAGTAACCAGAATTTTTTGTTAATGTGAAAAGTAGAAGTTACTCACTTCGTCAGCTAATTCCTTTCGCTTAGTTCTTCTTTAGATTAAATTAACCAAAATGATTTAGTTGCAAAACTCCAAACCCCTAGGAAACTAGGCACTGCCTGGAATACTGCATAGCATAGAATAAAGTTAAGCCGACTTGTCTTAACTCTCTTGATAGAGGGACGCTGACAAGCACAACTGGCCCTTTTTTTCCTCAAACAAAAATTTTAACATAACGTAGCCACTACAGGAATATGTCTTGTATCCATCGACACGATTTTATAAACGAAATTAAATTGATTAAAATGAAAAAGTAACGCGAGATAATACTTATAAACATTATTATCTGAAAACCATTCTCTGTCACATTTTTTAGAAATATTAATACATATAAGTTACTAGTTTAGTTAGGTACTTCACATTTTTCCTTTCGCTCTCCATTCACAACACTCTCATTCATATATTGCAGATATCTACTTACAAACTCAATATCGATGGGAGTTCAAAAGTCTCCCCCTTTTTAAACCGTTCCTCAGAAATTTTACCATCCAAGACGTTTAAAGTCTCTTCTTCCATAATATCGTGTTATTTTACATACATTTCCGACGTCGGATTGTGATGTTAGGGTCACTCACTCCGCCTCGGTGAAGAAGTCAGAGTTTCGATCGAACCGCATCCAACTCCTACCGATGGAATACACGCACGCCTTTGCTTCAGGAAGATCAATAGGACGACGACGGTGGAAGGAAAGGCGTAAGTCACCCTCCGCGTTATCCTAATGGGAGACGTTTGGTTTTACACCGCCCACGATCGGATATAACTTTTTTCCGCCCGACATGACCGCTCTCGTTATTTTTATCCCAATCAAGTCGCCCACTCAATCTCCTTTCAAAACCACCCCCTTCCTCATCCCCTATCACTCCTTCCCCCGCTTCTCCTATCCTTACCTGCCTCCTCCGACGAGCCTCATAAATTCCCTGCGGCTTAATTTGTTTGCACTTGATTTCGAGTCACGTAGTCAGGCTCCGAATTTTCGCCCGGGTGAGAATTCAATGAACCACAATGAACACATTTTCGGGCCGTCCTTATAATACGTAACGCTTAAAATCGTTTTTTTTTTTTTTTTTTTTTTTTTTTACCTTTTACCCTTCCTCTCCTTTGTATTGGGCCATAAACACAGTTCTGCACTCTCCTAAAAAAAATTCCGAAACACTTTGCCCGGCATCTCCCCTCAAATTAGTGTTTTGTGATTAATTTTGGATGAAAATTTAACACTTCGCGTTGATTTTTCACCTTCAACTCTCTGAACGAAAATTGGTTTTATGCAACTCTTACCGAACAAGGTGGAGAAATGGTGCTGGGCCCACACCATTTCGCGGGGAAAACAAAGCCATGACGAAGTCTCAAGAACTCTGACCCGATTTATGATGTTTCAATTGGATGTATTTATGCTAAAAGAAACTATTTCGCAGTCCCTATAAACATAGTTTCTTTTAGCATAAATAGATTCAATTATCCCTCTCCTCCTAAACAGACTCCTTGTTCTTGTTTTGTTAGAAAAATTGAAAACAAATAGCTTTAAAACTATTTGCATATAGACGTGCATCGACTCAAAATGTAAAACTTTCAGATTTCTGAGTTTGAAACTGACATTTAACTCTGCTGTAATAATTTCCTTAGTCAGACAACTACCATATTTCCCACTTTATTTTGCTGGGATATTTTTTCTTTTTTCCTGGAAGAATGAAAGCATATATTTACCAAGAGCGGCGAGGATGCCAGCAGCCCAAAAAACTTCACCGCAAAGAGCTGGCAGGAACAAAAGCCCTCCCATCCTTTCTCCGAAGGAATTTTGAAGAGGATCCAGCATCGTAACGTAGCCTTGCTTCCTCATAGGACTGGCGAAGAAGATGCCACCTGTAATTGAAATCAGTTGATATTTTAGTATTTGACACATTGCTTGAAAAGACGTTTGCATTTTGTATAAAGTAGTGCCTTCCCTCGCGAAAATTATTGCGCCCTGCTGATGCCTTCATATTGATGAAAAACTCAAAAATAATAATGATGAAAAAAAAAATTGTGAAATTTAAAAAATAACGTTACACCTAACTCAGACATTGCAAATTTACCGTTAGTTGTCATCTGATTCTTTTTTCTTATCTTTTTTAGCTAAAAACAACAACATTATCGCACAAATGAAAAATCATTGTTTTTTGGTCTTGTAGAAGTACTCCTCAGTAAAGTAATAAAGCTTTAAAGTTTAGAGACATTGACATATTCACCATTAAAATTTGAGTATGTATAGCAACCATTTGATTTTTATGTACAAATAGTTCCTTCTGATGAATATGATTCGAATCTTGAGAGATTCACCAAAAAGAAAAAAGGATCTCTCTCAAGTGTACAGGATTAGAACGTTCTTTGACTTTGCTCAGGAAATACGTATGTGCAAAAACGTCAGAATTCCGTCACGCGATCGGCACTGATTGACATGAGCGTGTTCGTGTAGTGATGACGGTAGCTGCTCAAATTTACGTATGACTCACGCTCGATTCCATGATCGAGACTAAAAAGTAAAGAAAAAAAGGCGCCGAAAAAAGATATTTTGAAAAATGTATAAGTCGAATATTTCATTAAATATTCCATTGCCCTAGTTTGAAATTGACTAAGTTCGAGACTCTGCAACTGTCTGATCAAAGGGTGAAAAAAAGGTCGGTCTCAATAATTGATCCACGAACACGTAATTCTAATTGAACATTCGTGTAGTGATGACGGTAGCTGCTCAAATTTTACGTATGACTCACGTTCGCTTCTATGATCGAGACTAAAAATTAAAGAAAAAAAGGCGCCGAAAAAAGATATTTTGAAAAATATATAAGTCGAATATTTCATTAAACATTCCATTGCCCTAGTTTGTAATTGACTAAGTTTGAGACTGCAACTGTCTGATCAAAGGGTGAAAAAAAGGTCGGTCTCAATAATTGATCCACGAACACGTAATTCTAATTAAACATTCGTGTAGTGATGACGGTAGTTGCTCAAATTTTACGTATGACTCACGCTCGCTTCGCTCGCTGTATGATCCAGACTAAAAAGTAAAGAAAAAAAGGCACCGAAAAAAGATATTTTGAAAAATATATAAGTCGAATATAATATTTCATTAAATATTCCATTGCCCTAGTTTGTAACTGACTAAGTTTGAGACTGCAACTGTCTGATCAAAGGGTGAAAAAAAGGTCGGTCTCAATAATTGATCCACGAACACGTAATTCTAATTAAACATTCGTGTAGTGATGACGGTAGTTGCTCAAATTTTACGTATGACTCACGCTCGCTTCGCTCGCTGTATGATCCAGACTAAAAAGTAAAGAAAAAAAGGCACCGAAATAGGATATTTTGAAAAATATATAAGTCGAATATAATATTTCATTAAATATTCCATTGCCCTAGTTTGTAACTGACTAAGTTTGAGACTATGCAACTGTCTGATCAAAGGGTGAAAAAAAGGTCGGTCTCAATAATTGATCCACGAACACGTAATTCTAATTGAACAGCAATCACTGTTACGCGGACGAGCGGGAGAGGTAGGGTGGGGGTAGAGTTGCATAAACTCATAACAATAATTAGGCTGGCGGGAGAATCGATCGCGTGACACAAAACAACCCCAAGTCGATCCAACGACCCGGTCAGGGAAGGCATTCCCTATTCGTCCTCGTACTTGTCCTGATTTCCTAGTCGACGTTTGCCTTAAGATGTTCCGAGTTTTTTAAGCGAATCAACCGATGCGTGAAATCACAGCGCTCTTCGGCAAGAGTGAGATACAATTCTTTTACGAAAACGTATTTTTATTTAGAGCTTCCAAACAGAATTTGTATCTGCATTTGGGGGTGGATTTGAATGAAGGTAGGAAAGAGGGGCTGTTCAAGTATTACGTAAGTTTGACCAAGTAAGTTTAGTAAGTTGAGTAAGTAAGTTTTTGACCCTCTCTTCCCTTCTTCTTTTTGAGGCATTCGTAAGATAGTCTCTCGATCCCTCCCATTTTGAATCACGAAAGATTGGGCCTCTTAAAATGCGATGTATGTATCGTGTATCCCCTCATAGTGGGTGTGGAAACTTGCCGAGTTGTGTATCTCCATTAATTATTGCAAATTGTAAAAGTAAAAAGATATTAAGTAAGGGTCGAACTCATAGTCGCTGCCAAACAGCTCCTCTCCTTAGGGTATTTCGTTTTGTTTAAATTTTAATTAAGGAGGGTTCTAATGCTAAGCCTTCTAATGCTATCAGTAGAATGACATTTTTTTGCAAAACGCTAGTTAAAAACTTCAGCAGTATAACTTTGGAAATGGATATTTGTAATTGATTATATACAAAGGTATTTCTATAGTATCGTCATCTTCCCGCCAAAGTATCACGAGCGCCATGCGACGTTTGAAAATTTCCGAAACCATTATATTTTTTTTACAAAGAAATTATTGGTTGAATCTGTTTGCAAATTTCACTGAATTATATCGGCACCACGAAGATAAATCAGTGAAATTTTCAGGCAGCTTCGTTGAACAACTTCTCTGTAAACAAATACAATGGCGGCGGTAATTTTGAAACGTCGCATGGCGGTTGTGATACTTTGGTCGGGAGATGGCTATATACCCTTTGTTAGAACCATTTAAATCCAACCATACTGAGAGAAATTTGCACACGGCCGTAATTTATAATTCTGCGTTTTTGCACATTAAAACTAGTCTAATTATTCTTAACACATTTCTGATCAACGCAAGCCTCATTTATTTCAGTTCCTCTTTTGTTTCTTCGCGTGCTCGTTAAATATTTTTGGAATGCATTTCTTGTCCGACAACTGCTTTTACTCATCATTAGCGAGGTGTATGCAATGGAAAACACGGGGTTTGCCCGCTTAATTTGTGGCACTAGGGCATCGGAGCTGCTGTACGAGTTTATTGCGTGTAGTGCGGTAATCACTGCGACCTCAGTCACCCATTTTTCTTCCCTAATTTTTTATTTGCAAGGCACTTACTTACACATAAATCGAGTGCTCCTCTAACTTTGACCATTAAAATTAAGGCAATATGACGTAACTCCCGCATAAAGAAGTATCGCTCTTACCTTAAAGAGGAAGTGGGGGATCTAAAGGGGTCGTTAGCATAAAATCTAAAAAAGAGGACCACGTCAACTAAGAACAACTTTAAACATTTTTGGAAGCTTGTATAGAGGCCCTTTGTTAATTACTAAGATATTATAATAGTTTTACAGAAAAAAATCAATAATTTAACCATTCTGGAGGTAAAAGAATGCTCAGGAAATGGCAACCGTAACTTTGGGAAAATATTAAAAACAGGAATATCACCTTGAAATGACAACACGGTACCGTGCTGCTATAAACATAAGTGATGGTAAATTGATAATTTACCATATCAGCGGCTAAAATAAGAAGGCAGAAATAGTAAAAGAAGAATAGGGAAGAAGAAGAAGAGAGAAAGATGTAAAAGGAGAAGAAGGAAAAGAATTAGTAGAGAGAGAAGAATTTCTTTTCTCTCGGCTTTCTCTTCTTTTCCTCCCTATTATTCCTCTGCATCTTTTCCTCATTATTATTTTTCCTCTCCTCCGAATCCTCCTTCATTTTCCTCTTCCTCCACATATCCTATTTCTTGAGAAGGAAGATCGCCTGAGGAAGAAAAGGAAGGAGACAAAGAAGAGGAAAAGGCTGAAAGGTAACAATAATAATATATTCTGCCTTGTATATCCTTCCTCTTCTTCTTTCTTCTCTGCTTCATCTTCTGTCACATCCTCTTTCTGTACTTTTTCCCCTTCTCTTTGAATGTCTACGTTTAATGAGTCCCAATCTAACTTATGCTCGGGATATCCTAAGCTGTTCTATTTCACACAAGTGTTTTTCCCCCTTTTTTTGTGCAAAACATCCCATGCACCTGGGTATGACCCCATACGATTTTTCCATCTAATAGAAGGAAACCTCGGGTATGAAAGACTCCAGTCAAAGGTCAAAGGTTACCAATAAAATTTCACCAATTTATACGAGACTGGATTCTACAGGAGGCGATGGGTCCGAGATTCGGAAGTATGAGTGAAAATTCCTGCTCCTCAGACTGAAGTAAGGTCCGATTCCGGTCTCTCACGCTGAGAGCCATACTAACGCATTACAGCACAGGTGATAAAACCCATCGGAGTGGAAAGAGCGTGGGCCTATTGTCGCTGCGATCAATTCGGTAATCATTTCGGGATTACACCACCGATTCAATGAGCGAGAGCCAGTGCGCGGGATTAAAGACAAACAGGATTCAATAATCATGCGTGAGACAGGCGTAAAAACATCCGCAGAGTATAGTGCGGCCAAGAAGTCCATTTCCCACTTCCGTCCGCAAAAATCTCAATAATTGAATCGGTTTCTGGTAGAAGAGTGCAAGTTCAAACTTTTCTATTCCTTTTATTTGTTTTTTAATGCATTTTTGGCTCTCTCAGCGGTATTATCTACACATTGTCTAAGATTTTTTGATTGATTTATATAATTTGGAAAAAAGGAGCGATGCCTTCAAGTTTCTGCCCTCGCTTAAGGGTTATACCTACGCAAGGGGTAATAATGTTTCTTCAATGTAACTTCCTCAAAATCTCAAAAAAGATATGAAAATGTGTTTATGATGAGACCTAGATCTGAGGGGACTGAGGAGAGGAGGAGGATTTGGAGGGGGATTTGGAGGGGGATTTGGAGGGGGATTTGGAGGGGGAGGGGGGCAGTTTATGGATGGAAAGAGAATTTGGGACCTTAGATATAGGAGACGAAGTATGAAAATCATTAAATTTCTTTAAAAAAAACACAGTAAAAAGCATCGCAGCTATCAAATAGCCATATATTCTCAATATGAGCCTCGCAGGCCCAGGATAGGCATTCGTGTAGGTAAAAACGGTTAGTCATCTAAGGGTTGAATCATATAATAAGGGGTTTACTTAAATTTTACTTAAAATAAAAAACTCAAACGGGTTTCCGGTGAAATAACTTTTGAACAGTTCTTCGGCAAGACCATTGCTACTAGGGCACTGAAATACTTAATCATTTCGCCACCTTCCAGCCAAAGTATCACAAGCGCCATGCAACGTCTCAGAACTTCCGCCGCCATTTTTTTGTCGGTTGAGTCTGTTTGGAAATTTCACGGAATTCAATTGGCAGAACAAAGAAAATTTAGTCAATTTTTCGGACAGCTTCGTCGAAAAATTTCTCTGAAAAAAAAAAAATAAAATGGAGGCGGAAACCTAGAAACGTCGCATGGCGCTTGCGATACTTCTGCCGGAAGATGACGCCTTACTGGTTTTCCTGAAATATTTCAATTAGACGTATTTGATGGGCACACAGTGAATGCATGTATACGCACCGAAAACCAAGCTGAGCGCGTAGCCGAACGGCGCTTGACACCAGATTAGTCCGGACGTGTAAATTGCCTCTGCCGTGCCGTTGATGTAGCCGCCTCCGACCCAAGTGGCTGCAAACAGAAGAGAAATCCGAGAAGAAAATCAGAGAAGTATATGGAAATCCGTTCGCTAAACCTGAGGAAGTGGCCGAGCTTGTTTCAAGAAGTTGCTATTGATAGAATTGGCACTTTTGAAGCGAGTGCCGTGCTGAGTCACTGTCCTCACCCAACATGCGTATGAGCCGAGTTGAATGAGACGCCAGCTATGATTATTATTGATGAATCTAGTTTTTATCGTCCGAGTTGCGTCCCTCCTGTATCCTCATGCGTTCCGAGGTGGATGCCCTGACGAATTCCTTACGATAAAATGTCAGTGAAGCGCCGTAGCATGAAGGCCTGCAATACCGCAGTACTAAGGAAAAACACCGTATGAACCTTTAGACGTTGCTAAATTTCATTTGATAAAACACGAATTTTTTGATAAATTTGTGAATATTTTTCTTCCAATTTTTCGGATAATTTTGCTCGCAATTTCACCTAAGTTTCCAAAAAAAATCAAGGAAAATATTCTTTACTTCCCTAAACAATAAAGTTTTTATCGGAGGAAATTTGGCAACTCTCGAATTTTAGAACGGCGTTATTCCTTAGCACGGTAGAATGGGACTTTTGCATAATGCATAACATCGTGTGTTGATTGTTGAATCAAAAACATTTGCAAAAAATTATTAGATCTGACGAAACACCTTTCTACGATCAAGATATCGTTGTAAAATTGCGTACATCATGCGCGAACGCGTCTAAAGATGTCATCCTTCACGTTGGTGCAACATGAACAAATTTAATAAGAATCAGCCAAACGATAACAGACGTTGTCAAATTTTTTCCGAAGGCAATCAGCATCGTCTGCAATTTTCAAGAGACAGTTCATAAATTGCGCAACACTGTAAAAGCGGAAGGTCGAGGAAAATGTTACGTCATTTTGTTTTTCGGGACCAGGGCCGGATTTATAGGATGGCCACATGGGCCGCGGCCCATGGCGGCAAATTTAGGGAGCGGCGAATTTTGCAATGTTTTTAAATGTAGATATAACAAAAATCGGATTCAGAAAAAAATTACAAACAAGAAAAGGCGACAAAATATCTAATTTTCTGGGAGTACAGTAATTTCTAATTTTGTCGTCTTTCGGTGATACAAAAGACTGCGCACCTTTAATTAGTTGGGTTAAGAGAGGAACCAAACACGTAATTAGGCCTGGAGCGGCGCGGCGCAGAGAGCAATGATGACGAGGACTTAAGATGAAAAGGAGAAGCCCTCGGCGCGGCGGTCGGCATGTAACACATATTAGCGCCTACAAGAGTGCATGAATACTTCACGCATTGCGTCAAATACAGTGCGGTCAACAGCGGTCGGCGGAAACGCATAGCGCCTACAAGCCTGCAAGAATACTTCACACATTGCGTCAAACACAGTGCGGTCAGCGTGAAACGCGAGGCACCTACAAGACTGCATGAATATTGCACGCATTGCGTCAAACACAGTGCGGTCAATGCGGCGCAGAAGCGGAAGTTAAAATTATTAAACCACATTAATGTGTGTTCTTTCATAATTTTTTGGTTCATTTCTTACAAATGAAAGGCCTTGTCCGTACAGAAATAGGTTTACGGAACTGAACTTTCGCGCACAGTTCTGTGAACTTTTGCTAGTAATGTTGACAGGGCTTACGCAAAAAATGTGTCCAGCACTAGTGAACGCGTCTTATGCACCCTTCCCCTTCCGGCACGTTCACTTGACGGTTTTTATGGATGTTTCAAAACGAATAAGAAGGGGGCGGCAAAATATAGGCGGCCCATGGGCGGCAAGTTGGTAAATCCGGCCCTGTTCGTTACGTCGGGTGCATTAATTCTTCCTCGCTAAATTAAAAGTCTATGAGAGTTAAGAATCGCTAACTCTCGAATTCACAAAACGACCGTTTCGTTAAAACTTATTTATACCGGGGATTTCTTGATTTGCACTTATCATCGAACAAAAATAACAGCTAGATTTCACGAAGGAAATGTTGGTCTAGAGAGGTTTTTTCCCCGATGCAATTAAAGAGAAAGGTTGCAATGCTTATCGAATTAGTGATCCTTCGAATGAAGCAATCTTTTGCGGAACTTTAAATGTCTGAACAGCGAACTTAACTGGAAAGTGTAGGATTGCTTGGTTTCCTTTCCGTATACTGGAATCAGAGGCTCTTTCTTGCTCCTCGCACAAGCGCATAAAACTGCCTGTGAAATTCGGATTTCAAACCTAAAGTTGTGCTTTTCATACGCCAAGAGTTTCCTCTCAAAGAGAGAGAGAGAGATATCAGTCTGGCACAAAACGCTCTTGACTAAATGGCTGTAATTGTTGTTAGGCAGTGAACGCTCCTTAATTTCGGTGACTATGCAATTTGAGCTACTGCAGCGTTGATATAATTGTATCACGCCTGCTGCTTCGCTCTGTACCCAATTTCTATGACGGGTGCATAGACCGTGTTTTTCGATCAACGAGGAAATAATATAAAAAAACATCAACAAAAAAGCTCAACTTGCCGCTGCCATTCGATTCACATCAGAGTCAGATTTCATTAAATGTAGGTATAACTCCCTCCCTTTTCATACAGACTGTCAGTGAGGCATATATGGAACCAGATACTTGATCGGGGGTGGAGGGATTTCCGGGGAACTTTTCCCAGAAAATTTTCGGGATTTTAGAGCATGTAATGTGCAGTTTGAGTTAATTCCGTCATGAATAAGACGCAAATATAAGCGTTCTTCCTTCATCTTTCCTCCGTTCCTTCTTTCTTGCTTGCTTCCTTTTTTTATCCTCCTTTTTTCATCCTCCTCATTTCTTCCTCCTTTTCCCTTCCTCTTTTGTTCTTCCTCATTTTTCCTTCCTCCTTTAATCTTCCTCCTTTTTCCTTCCTTTTTCCTTACTCCTTATTTCTTCTTCTTCATTTCTTCTTCCTCATTTCTTCCTCCTCTTTTCTTCCTCCGTTTTTTTTCCTCCTTTTTTCCTCCTTCATTTTCCTTCCTCCTTTTTTTGAGAGTGGGGCGTACGTCCCTTACACCCTCCTCCCATGATCCGCCCATTCATTGGGGGCTATTTTCCCCTCATATTTTCATTTTTATTCCTTCCGCGCCCGCCTTGTATCTGATCTCTGGATATTTACTGATGGTATAGACGTTGATACTCGGGCTTATTTTACTTCAGCCACTATAATTATTGCTGTTCCCACAGGAATCAAAAATTTTAGGTGGCTTGCTACTCTAGGTGGTATAAAGTCTAATAAGTTTAGTCCCCTTGTTCTTTGATTTACAGGATTTTATGCCCTTTCTGAAATATGCGATTCATCTCTGCACGATTACGTCCTTTTGTCCAAAATCAAGTGTATCAGGTAACCGAGGTGTCAAAAACTTCTGAGGGACCCGAAGAAGAGGATGATCTCATCGAGGCGAGACCGAGTGAGCGCGACTGCGTGGATCCGATCGGTCGCGTAACCGCGCGAATATGCGTCCGTGCATGGATGCTGCATGTGTCCGTGATGATGGCACGATGTGTGAATGTGTGAATGTGTGAATGTGACTGTGTCTGTTGCGATTGGGTGCCCCGGTCACACCTGTCTCAAATCACCCGTCACGTCGACGTCCATCCGACGTCGACGTCCGTCCGACGTCCCCGTCCCCGTCCCACGGCGGAGGACATAACTCAGACGATCAAATAGAAAGTACACGATGTTTGATGTTGGTGCTGCAACGTCGGAAAACTTTCAAACGCCATTGTTCGCCGTTCATTTGTATGAATCTAATTTAAAATGATCTCTCTCGCGTCTGCGCGCTGCCGTTGCTCTTGCTCCTGCCGCTGCCCCGCGCCCGCCGCGACGGGCCCTCCCCCGCGTACCGTACCCGCGGACCGCGACGCATCTTCCTTTCGCCGTTGCCACGTTACTGGTGGCTAGAGTACTTTGCAGAAAAAAAGTTACCGGCTGTATAGACATATACAGTCCGTTCTGGGCTCAGAGGCTGTAGGTTCAATTGCTCCGGGTGCTACGACCGGAACTTTCGGACTCTGAGTCCGGGACGCGGATGGTATGTCTATACAGCCCGTAAGTACGGCTTCCATGGCCGGAGTTTTTTTTTTTTTTTTTTTTTTTTTTTTTTTTCAGTGTACCTGGATAGGAAATGTGTGAGCCCACGCAAATTGTGCGTTGAGGGGTGGATTTTGTACTCTTTTTTTGTGTTCATCATAAAATCCAGACGATTGGACATGTACGTGATTTTGAAGGTTATGTTTGATCAGGTCTTCAGACCAAAAAAGGCAGCCGACTTATGAGCTCAAATTAGCCAGCATTTCATAATGTTACACTTTTTTCTATAGTTAGTTAGTATAATTTTAAGACATTCAGCGGCTCAGGACCGTCGTTTCAAAAATTATAAGGGCATGTATTTGACTTTGTCTTTTGCCTAAATTTCCTCAGCTATGCTGAAGGACGCTCACGCTGGAAAAAAAAAAACTCCGTACGTGAAAACCGTACAAAGTACTTACTAAGTGTATTGGTGCACCGGGTCTGTTCCAGGTTCAGAAGTCGAAAGTTGCGGATGTAGCACCCGTTACAACGAATTCTGAGCCTGAAGCAGTCGAAGCTACGGCTCCAGCATCCAAAACTTGCGGTCTCCGTAAGTGCGACCTCCACGCCTGGAGGTTTTTTTCAGTGCATTTATTAACAGAATTAGCCATTTTGGTTTGACGTTCAAATAAGAAGGTTGGCAGCCAAAATTTTCGAGGGATTTTCTTGTGGGCGGGTTGGCTGCCATTTTGGCCGATGAGCTCCATGTTTTGACGTGTACAATTGTACATACTCTTCAGTATCCGGGTACTCTATTCGTGGCGAGTTTTCTTCAGAGTATCTAAATTGGAAGAGTATGGAAGGGTTAACCGCTCTTTTGAAACCTGCTCTTTTTTCACTATTTTGGGCCTCCACAAAAAAGTCCGTCCATACTTGCCCAATTCAGGTTCTTCAACTCAGCTCCTCTCCGAATCAATAGACTAACTTTACAGGCAGAGTAAGGCTATTAGAGTGCAATAGTAGCCCAAACCTACCCCCCTCCTCTCTTTTGAGTGTTACATATTTTATGAACGGCCCTTAATGGGCCTCTACATAAGGTACATGAATAGAGCACCGCGCAACTTGTTTACTCTCCAAAATTTTACGAGAAACACAACGAGAAGTCTGGAGATCAACTCCTAAACAAGATATGAGAATGTATACAGTTGGAATTCATTTTGCAATTAAGATTTACAGTTTCTGGCTCAGTTCAAAAGCAACTTATGTGCCACTAGTTTCCTTATAGACATATGAGACCTTATATGTAACGATGGTGGAGGCGAAAAATTACCTTTTCGAAAAACGCTTAAAAAACTGTTTTGTTCACACAAAAATTTAATATGTTTGACTCTGGCATAATGTACGGATCTCGAAGATCACATCTCAAGTATTTTCTAAAATTTTCTCGATGCCAAAACAGTTTTTTGAATGTGTTTCGAGAGGGCAATTTTTCACATCCGCCTTTGTTGCGTATAAGTCCTCATATGTGTTTTTAAGCCGGAAACCATAGTTCCTTATCGGAAAATGTAGCCCAACTAACATTGGTTAAAAGGCAAACGCACTAATGACGTCAATGGGGCTTCTAATTCCGGTTTAATCCGTGATAAAAATCATATTCTTTAATATAAAAGCACAAGAATAACGCATAACGCTTGAGGCGCGAAGCGGTTCGGGGGGTTGGACCGCGAAGCGGCCAGGGGACGTACCCCCCGTAATTGTTAATGTCTCACTTAGGAGTTTAGGAGTCTAATTCAGGATAATTTCCGAGCATCCCGTTGTGTGAATCGGCTCCTACGTAAGGTTTTGAAGAGAAACCACGTGATGAATCTTCCTAGTTAAGACCTTCCTCAGCGGCCCATTGACACCGCGTGGGAGATGAACTAGCATCTCGGCAACATGGATTGTACAATTGCTTCAATCGTGACTCCGATGGACCGTAAATCAAATTTTGTCTCGCGTCTCCCTTTGACACTTGGCGCACTCTTTGAGGACGAGGTGCTAATTCTCATTTCCGACTGGTAATCCATTTCCTTGCTTATGGCTCTGGGCAAGTGTCTTATCCCCGGCCTTTCTTCTCCCTGTGCGCTATTGTAGTGCGGCTAAGTTAGTGTGTCAGCTATTTCGTAATCCGATGAGACGGAGACCATGATGACCGCCGCGCCTCGCAAGTCAGACTTCGATATAGACATCAATCGTTCCACATAATCCCTCATCTGGAGTCGATCGTTTTAACCTATTTTCGCGATCCGGGTCCCTATATATCGATGGCCGAAGTGCAAAACCGCATATCTCCGTTTACGAGGTTGCAGACCTCCTGTCATACACTGGAATTTGAAACTACATCGGCTATGGCGCACTCACTAGTTCAGTCATTACAAACCTTTTGTACGTCGGAAATTTGAGTTCTGAGATGAACACAAACTTTCTGGCTTTCTTTCGAACTTCCTTTCGAATTGTGTTCAGAAACGAAGGACTGTTGGCCAGTAATAGCCCAATGGTATCTTCTGGATTGGTGTTGATTTTGTCAGCATCGCAAGTTTTAGAAGGACATCCAGTTGCTACATGAAGATTTCTGGTTGATTCAATGAAAATTTCTGTGTGGAAATTCCTAATTATCATGAGGGTTGTGTTCTAATAGTATACAGAAGAACTCTTGAGATTACAGGTTGATACCTGGGTAGATTTTAGAGAGAAATCTGGAAAAATCATTTTTATCTAAGATAAATATTATTTTAGCCTCATTTGATATTGACATTCCCCATTGGATATCTTTTTTTTTTTTTATCAAGACGCAAACCACGCATGCATGCAGAACATAGAACCAACTGCTACTATACCTAAAATGTAAAATAATATGGGAACGGCCCTTTTATTGTAGTTGCAAGTAAAATTCGATCAAAATCTAATCTCTTCTTTTTATGATTTTTGACAGTCTCCCGAGGGACGGGAGATGCGTTCAATAAAATCCACTCTGAAGTTGCTCGATCCATTTTTTCTTCTTCCTTGCAATTTCATTTGGACTGCATTTTGCAATTTGGAACTATAAAGTCGGGCTCATCTGAAAAAACACTTATGTGCATAGGGAAACTAATGGCACATACGTTGTGTTTAAACCGGGCCAAAATGTATAGTTCCAAATAGATCGTATTCGATACATACAAGAGATTGTATCGATATAGATTGGTTCAAAACATAAACATAGCCTCAAAAGTAAATTCAGAAATCTGAGAGAACGGATTTTTTTAAACAGATTTTTTATTCTTTTGAGTACCAAATGCCACTGCAAAGTGAAATTGTCAGGAAATTTCTCATTTTCAGCTTTTCCAATTAAAATCCTTTAAGTTTGGTTTGAGGTTATGTTCTATTGTTTTGAACCAAACGATACATCGAACCGTTATCGAATACGGTCTATTTTCGCACTTATGCTGTCAGAATGCAGTGCCTGTTTCACGAGTCTTTTTATCGGTAGATCGTTGAATTCAACCAAGGGTTTTCTTGACTGAAACTGTGAAAAGACCTATAACGGAGTGGAATTACCTGTCATGGTGAAAATGCCGACGAAGAGCCCGATGTTCCTGCCGGCGAGCATGACCTCCTCCTCCGAGTCGTTGCCCTCCTCCTTCTTGCGCCCGGCCCATATTCCGACGGCCAAGATTAAAAGGTAGAACAACACGATCGATATCACGCCCCATAGGTTCAGCATCTTCTGCCAACATACGAAAATACCCCCAAATCAGCACATGCGATCAAATAGACTCGTATCATGAAATGGGTCTCTGTCGCACCGAAGATACATCCAGTGGCGTGGCGTGCTTTGCGATATATCGAATGATCTGCCATTTAAACCTATGGAAAAAGATCGATAAATAGGAAGTTCGCAGCGAACACCTTAATAATCGATTCTTTACCATAGGTTTAAATTACAGATCAATCGATATATCGCAATTTACGCCACGCCACTGGATACATCCAACTGAATACCTTCACTCTTTATCAGTAAAATTCCAAGAAAAGCGAAGTAGACGGATTTTACCGAAATCAGAGTGCAGACTCGTTGTTAAAATTGGTAGGAAAATCGATAGACGAAGACAACATACGGAAAATAAAGATATCCTTTTACTAAAAGCCGGTGGTTGCAATTCATAGAGAGAAAAAAGGAGGCGTTTGCATTTTGAGGATTTTTTACCTCGTGACGTAGGTCGGTGCAGGTACTCGAGCAAAATCTGGAATTCGAAGTATGAAAAATGGACCATGATGTCCGATTTTTTTGCTTGAATTAACTCATGATATAATTTCAAGCACTTTATGTAGAATGATTTTTTTCCATAAACTACACCATTTCCAAGAAAATAGATGGTGAAAATCATCTGCACCTACCTACGTCATCAAAAAAAATCCAAGATGCCCGAAATGTAAACACCTCCTTTTTTTCTCTATGGTTCTCTGGCACACCAAAGATACACCCACCTGAATGTCCACATGCTTTATGAGTAAAATTCCAAGGAATGCGAATTAGACGGATTTTACCGAAATCAGCTTGCAGAGTGCTTGTTAAAATTGATAGACAAATCTATAGACAAAGAAGACATAGGAAAAATGAAGCGATCCTATTAGTAGAAGCGGGTGGTTGCAATTGACAAAGAAGGTAAGTAATAGACTATTTAATAGCAGCTCATGAGAGACATTATGGTTTCTGTCATTTTGTCTCAAGTTCATGATTTCCCTCTTAGTCTATGACAACCAACCGTTTCGACTGAAAGGATCACTTGATTTTCTTTTTGTCTATTGTTTTGTCGATCAATTTAAAAAATCAACCCGCAGTCCGCGAAACTCAATACTTTGCCGGAAGAACGTTGGCAAGCCTCAAATGGACTATACATATTTTGCTACATTAGGAACTACAATTTCTGTCTCAGCTTAGAAACATCATATCTACCATTAGTCTCCCTATGCATATAAGTATTTTTACATATGAGCTAAATTGTAAATTGTAAATAGTTCTCAATTGCGAAAGGTAGTCCAAATGTTCACGGCGCGAATGCAACTATTCGAGCCTAGTGGATATGCGTGATGCCTATACAATAAATGAAGGCGCTATAGCTTTCGTGTGCCGTCCGCAACATTCCCGTGACGGATCTTCAACACACAACTCGGCGGGTTTGTGTTCTTATTAAGGTTAGGTCTATTCGCGTGCTTCTCTGACATCAAATCCGTGATCTTCTGTCATCGAAAAATTACTCATTTGAACCGAAAATTGAACGACTCACAGTTTAAAAATTATTGCTCCGCGTCATTGATTTTCTGGGCTGCACATTGGCACACGCAACTGGACTGTCCTCTCTGACCCGAATAAAAGAGATTTTGTTCTGGATCGAGGGGAATTTGGCGCACTTTCATAAAAATTCGAAGTTTGGCACAGCGGATACTAGAATTTCACCTGAAGTTAAAAACTTGGAAGCTCCTCACTAATCTCCGAGACGTGCTCATAAAACTTTCATCGACAATGCTCTATATAAAAGTTTAAGTTACTGTAAGTCGATCATCCGTCCCATCCTCCCTGCTTTTTATCTCGAAGTCTCCCTTCTATGCAATGACACTGGAATATTGAGTTTTGGACTAGTTTGCGCTTCAAAATAAGACAATTTTCGTCCAGGAGACTTTCATACGATTTTCTCACGCAAAAAAAAATGAAGGAACACATTCTCTTGCTAACGAGACACGAAGTAGTTGTTCCTTGTAATTGAAACTGAATAGTTGAAATTTTGATGTGAGAATAAAAATTATAAAAAGGGAGGCGGTTCCTGGTTTTATTCAAACTGTAAAATTATCAACGATGGAACTCCCAAACCACGTATCTCGTTTGCGATGTTTAAAACTTTCTTCTCTCGTTTTAGTTTTTCAAAGGAGGAAAAATCAAAATCATTCCTCGCAGTTCTCAGAAAATTTTCTTCGTGCAGAGAAGAAAAGTCGGAGAAGTTTTTAAGAATTGACATTGGGTAGTTTTCCTTTAAAAAAATTAAGAATGACACAAAGTCCAAGATCCGAGATACGTGTTTTGGAAGGTCTACCGTCGATTTATAAACTTTCCCCAACATCTAAGCTTACTCTTTTTAGCTTGTTCGTGAATAATCAGCTTTTGTGATCACTCTTCAAATCTTTGATCTAATCAGTATTTACAACAGTTAGCAGCGTGGAGCTCTGCGGTTTACCCCCAGAAATTATTCATTTGGGTGTTGTAACTTGCAATTTTGTAAATAATGCTACAGAAGCAAGTCTCGCCTTGTGAAAAAAAAGTAGAAGAAAATTTGTCAGTCCAAAAAAATTGTACGAAATGAACATGATCTGTTTGCCCAAATGAGATATCACTAAGTCCCACTCTTTTGTATCTTTCGCGCGGCTCTATCATTTGGACGTATTTCTATCAAACGGAACTATGTGCATTAAGACATGAGCCCTGAGACCCATAAGAATATGTGCATAACAGGGCTCACGTCATAATGCACATAGTTCCGTTTGATAGAAATACGTCCATTTCAAGATCCGGGGCCACTGAAATGCTAATACTCTTTTTGTCACATTCTGGAGGAAGTCAGTGAGAATACAACGTCTTGAAGCTGCAGCTTTCTCTAGCTGAGATCTTGGCAAAGTTTCTGCACTCGTATTTATCTTATCTCCTCATAAAAGTTTTTGAACTGACATTTTCAAAATGGTCATAGTGACGGCGGAATAGATAGGACAAGTTTTCTCTCGCCGAGTAAAATGTTTAGAAAAAGTTCATACAGAGGGGAAAGCGAGGGATGGAACCCTCCAAAGGCGAACCGCAACATTATGAACACTTTTCATGCGCTCTTGAATAGAAACTCACAAAACCGAGTTTGAAAATCAGGAATGGAATCACTACAAACTAATACATCACTTTCTCTGACTTTCGAATCGCTTTGGACGAATCATTCATAGCTCCTGACCTACCTCTTTGTTGGCTGTTGAGTGACATATTGAGTAGTTTCTTATGCCAAAAAGCCTGTTTCAACTATTTCTCTGCGATCAGAATAAGCCTATTCATCCCCATCCTCTCTCAACCTCTTTATAAATAATAAAATATTAAAAATAGAATATTTTAAAATCTTATTTTAAGTCCCGTTTACTTTTCCAATTTTTTCCAAATATTCCTCTTTTAGCGGTTCCTACTTACTCCTTTACTTGAGATATAATGTACTACCTAATTCATTTAGAATGACACAACATGCTCTCTTTTTCGTTTATATTTCCCTATAGAAATACGTTGCCAAACAATAAATTGTGCGTAAACTTTATCTGCTTAATTTGTGCGCAAATGATATCAGAGGTGGTTGTTCGCCAGCGTTGTACGGAAAATGTGCGCAAACGTTAAGTTGACACTTCCTCATGACTGCTAATGAGGAATAATAAATCCATGTGAGCAGGAGATCCTAACTGTGGCCAATAGGTTATGTGTCTAATCGTCTTTGGAGAGGATGGGCCTGGTTCACTTGAGCTCTCCATTGAAGAGCCTTCAAACTAAATGGATACTATCTGCAATACACCTTTACTCCAAGAAACCAAATTAATTGTGTCAATGGAACGCATGTGGTTTTGAGTACATGTTTTCTATTAGTTACATGTATGCGTTGTACATCTTTAGATGACTATTACACTAAGTTCGATTCCAGACAGCACTTTATTTTTATTTTACAAATAATGATTGGTTTTATTAATTGTGATATATGAATGTTATGGAATCAGTCAGCCAGCCACGAAGAATCTTCAAGTGGAAACTCAAGTTGGACTACATTTTTTGATAAAGGGAATATACTAGTATTACTAGTTTCCCTAAATAGATAGATGATATTTTGGATAAACCAGGAATTGTGGTCCCTTGTTTTATTAATCAGTTTCTTCTCTTTTTTCTTTTTAAAAGCATATCTTCACCCTCATTTACCTGCGAGTCTTCCGGGCGGACTAAGATTAAAATGAGGTATAGTTGACGAGATGTTCCAAAAGGAGAATGAAATCTTGAACGTTAACTCCTCCTCTCCTCAAAAGGCTATTTGTTTTTAATACACTTTAATATTTTCCAAAAACAGATCTAAATAATGAAAATTTCCAGATCTACAAAATTATTACTAAGCACAGTGATATTCTCGGGACACATTAACAATCAAAACTAAAATTCTCTCGTTGTTTAAATAACAAAACCAATCTCCTCATCAATAACTAGGAATACCCTCCGTAAAAGAAACGGTAGCTCAAAAATTTTGACCGCAGTAAATGCTTTCATCTAAAATCTGGAGAATATTTTCCTTTTGCCGTGATAAATCCTTGCAGATCCATATGGGATGGCAGTGTTTTTTCATTAGACTGGTCCACAGCGACACAGCAGTATTATCGAAAGCTCTCCGCCATTCATCTCAATAAAGTTGACGGTCCATTGAAAAATGTCTCATGTTGTCAAACAAATGCCTAAATTATTGCGATCGTCTGTGAACCTTTCTCAATGATGAAATGAAAAATAACCCCGAAAAGGGGAGCCACACTCTGATATTACTGAATAATTCTTCTTGAAGCAATATCACCGGACACTAACATCATTTCACCAAAACCGGGGGGGGGGGGGGGGAGCAAGTGGCCTTCCATGACCCTTATCATGAAACCTAAGTAAAGAAAAAACAATAAGTTTTTAGCAATGTAATCAATTTTTTTCGTTTATTTTAGCTTTTTGAAACAAAGGAGGGGGGCAACAGTTTCCCCCCATGCTCCCACCAAATGACCAAATGACGCCACTGTCACCGGACGATAGGAAAAGGCTAAAATGTGGCTAAGGTTAAGAGCATTTAGAAAAAATAAAAACTTACTTGTTCTGAGATGCTGATCCGACTGATGAACTTGTTGTTGCGGAGGGCGCCTTATTTAATCAAAGTAAAAAAAAGCTTAATTTTAATAGACAACAATTAACAACAATAAAAAACGGATAACGTCTCACTAGGGAACATTTTCTACCGTGATTATAAATGTAAACATTGTAGAAAACAAAATATTTGATAACAAATTTCCTAAGGTAGTAGTGTAACAAATTACGTTTTGCCCTTGTTTAAAAATCGTAGGTAACAAAAAATTCAACTATGGAAAGTGTTGGGATCGCCCGACGCGGTGTGGATTATAATCGGGAGTTGGCGCGGGTCAAACAGCAGTCCCCCCAACGAAGGGAAGTTTTTTGTGAAGGACTATTGCGTGTTCTAAAGCCTAGGCTGCACATGAGGTCCGAATTTTGGTAAAACCATCAAAATGTCGATATGACGCCCAGATTTGGAGGTGTTGTTCTCTCAGGTTCCGGTTTCTTTTCACGCCACTGCTCGAATCATCTGGTCATCTGAAAGTAAAAGAGAAACAGAAAATAAAGCATTACTTTAAATACTGCGAAGTAATCCCATATAATGTTAGAACCCGTTTCAGATACTTGTCCTCTTTCGCTGTATGTGCGGAATAGGAAATTTCCTGTTCTCCACATACAGGGGTCGTGTATTGCAAATTACGTAGCTCTCAGGTGCCGTCCCGAAAATTACGCTCAGGGGACGTCCTTAAATTACGAAACGCTCAGGGGCCGTTTGAAGGGACTCGACCCTCAAACTGGCAACAGCACGGAAAAATTTCAACAGCGATTTTCCCAAATTTTCTGCGTTTTTCGTTCTTAAACTTTAAATCGTTCTCAATATGGCAATTTTAAGGTGTTTATTGAGTCAAATGGTGCAGAAATGAATCCTCACCGTGGTGCAATCATCTTATCTCCCCTTGCGCTTTATGGCCCATTTTGCCCCAGCACAGGGGAGGATAAATCATGTAGCTGTCTCGTAGCATTGTTGCAACGGTCCGGTAATTCAATTTCAAAGCAGTGTAGATTTTGTAAATCAATGGCATCGTCAAATTTTAGTAAATACCCATGTAGCGGAATTTCGAGATTGACAGTGATGAATAAGCTATTTATAGTCATTTAATTATCTGTTTATTGCTATGGAACTTCTACTAAATAGCAATGTTAACATACATGTGCAATACAAACTTGCTATAAATATTCATGTTCGATTTTTGAATACGAAATAGCTATAAAATTGCAATTTATCCCTAATTTATTGTGATATTAGTATGGGCAGATCTAATTGTGTTTCACTGACCTATGATATGAAATCATAAAGAGATTATTACTACAGATTCCTCAAACAAGGAACAGAAGCTAGAAATAGTCTTAAATAGAAAAAAAAACATGATTCTGTGACTTGGGAAACGGAATCATTCTTCAGAGGAAGCCTTTTTTAAAACGAGATCGTTAGAACCTTGGCCGTATAAAAAAGAATTACGCAATGTTGTCATAGAACATCTACATTTTCCCTCTTTCTACTAATCCTTTTCTTTTTCTTTTCTTTTTTTTTTTTCTTTGTGCTTCAACTGACCGTCAAGCGTAAGCAGTGACGTCAAGGAGTAACCCACCTTCCTCTCCTTCCTTCCAAAACGACAGGGAGCGCTAGAGAAAAACTCGGAAATAGAGAGAGGAGAATTGCATACTGCCCTTACTACACGCTAAAGTCTAATGTCACCCCAGATTCAAACAAACTGTTGTTCAGAATACCGTGTGCATTAACATAACTGACTTTTGTCGAGCGGAATAAAGTCTCTCTATCCTCGAGGAGTACACGGAAACCCTTTTTGTGAAGACTGTACGGAAAACTGTGTCAACACTACTAAATAATTCTAACTTGCGCTTTTCCACGATGCGTATAACGGTGAAAAATAATTTCTTTTTTTTTAATGATAATAAATAAATAAATAAAAAGCTTCGCAAGGATGTACCGTCAGTGTTTTTATTTTGTCTTCAAACTCCATTAATTCCTTTTTCCCCGTTCCACCGTCTCTCATCATTAAAGAGCTTCACCTCTTGCAGTCATAATTCAGTAAGTGCTTTGCATCGTTGAGAGACTATGCAACTTTTATTTCAAATTACGGTGAGCTCCGATTAAGGTAGGATCGATCAAAGAGGTTGTTCCATCCCCCATTAGATTTGGCCCCCTATCAGATATGATCCATCTTTTCAGGAGTGATACAGTAGCATGCGAGACGTTCAAATATGGCGGCCATTTTGACTTAGGCCCCCCCAGAGAGGGGGGGCGGGGGGTCAAAGTCAAAACCTTCAACTGCCTATAACTTTTGAGCGAAAAATCGGATTGAGTTGAACTTTTTTTTAAATGAAAGATCTCAAAAAGATCTATCTGCTGATACCAGAAAAATTGAAAATTTTAATGCAAATTTTTAGCAATTTTTTAATTTTTTAGGGGACAAAATTTTCGATTTTGTCGTGTTTCGGCACCGCGCAATGACTCTACTAAAACAAAAACCAATTTTTTAGATTCTACACTTAATTTCCTACAAGATGCAAAAAACCGCATCTTGGGGAAACGTTTAGATCGCGAGCTATGGCT